AGGAGGAAAAATGGCGCCCTGTCGCCTTCCTCTCCAAATCTCTATCCGTCACCGAACGAAACTACGAGATCTATGACAAAGAGCTTCTAGCGATCATGATCGCGCTAGAAGAGTGGCGTCAGTACCTAATGGGCGCCCGAGAGGACTTCGAAATCTGGACGGACCATTCCAATCTTCAATATTTCCGGAAACCTCAGAAGCTTAACCGACGACAGGCCCGATGGGTGACAGAGCTGGCGGAGTACCAGTTTACCCTTCATCACAAACCTGGGGCCCAAAACCGAAAAGCGGACCTCCTATCGAGAAGGGCGGATCACGACCAAGGAAAAGATGACAACAGGGATGTAACGGTTCTAAAACCCGAACATTTCCGAGCGCTCGTTATGCCCACCACGGGAGAGCTTCAGGAAAGGATCAAACTGGCCACTCACGACCCCCGCAAATGGGATCGGGGTATCTCAGATTCCCTAAATCACGAGAAGGGGATATCCCGAGATCAAGAATTGCTGTGGTATGACGGACGCATCTACGTACCCGTCGACAGACAATTGCGAGGAGAAATCATAGCCTTGCAGCATGATCATGTCACTGTGGGTCATCCAGGCATAGAAAAGACAAAGGAGCTCATTCTACGCGATTATTAGTGGCCTCGCATGCACCGGGATATAGAGACTTACGTCAAGGGATGTGAGGTTTGCCAGTGGACCAAACCTGATCGACGGCCCAAAAGGGCGCCTCTCCATCCTAACGAAGTACCAAATCGACCCTGGACTCATATATCTGTCGACATGATCACCAAACTTCCCGATTCTAAGGGGTTTAACTCCATTCTGGTGATAGTCGATCGGTTTTCCAAGATGATTATCCCCATCGCTTGTACCGAGGAGCTTACCTCCATGGGTTTTGCCAAGATCCTGAGGGATCACGTCTATGTACCCTACGGGGTAATGCCCGAGAAAGTCATCTCGGATAGGGGAGCAGTTTTCGTATCCAAGTTCATGAAGGAATTCTACAAGCTGATACAGGTGGAAGGGAATCCTTCTACCGCCTATCACCCCCAAACCGACGGACAGACCGAACGGGTTAACCAAGAGATTGAGAAGTACCTCAAGATGTTCGTCAATTATCGTCAGGACGATTGGAGTGAATGGCTGCCGCTCGCGGCATTCACTCACAATAACTGGAAACATTCTGCAACGGGTTTCTCTCCCTACAGAGTGGTCTTTGGACGCGATGGGCAGGTTATCAAGACCGTCCAGCGCCCGGACGCAGTACCAGCCGCCTCTAAACTGGTCCAGGGAATTCAGGAAGTGCAAGCGAAGGCAAAGGAGTCGCTGGAACGGGCAGCTGCTTCAATGAAAAAGGCCTACGACAAGCACAAAGGGGAGGCGCTGAAGTACCAGGTCGGCGACAAGGTGTGGTTAGACTCCACCAATTTAAACCTACCCCGTCCAACGAAGAAGCTGGGAGATAGGCGAGTCGGACCTTTCATCATTACGGCAAAGAAAGGAGCGTCAGCCTACGAGTTGAAACTACCGGTGAAGTGGCGGATCCACAATCGCTTTAACGAGTCCCTACTTACTCCATACCACACCCCAGAGTTTCCCAATCAACCGCGCCCGGAACGACCACCCCCAGAGCTCATTGATGACGAGGAAGAATATGAAATTGAGGAGATCGTAGGGGAAAGAGACCGTATCGTCGGTCGCGGATGAACTCGATGCACTATCACCGAATACTTGGTGAAGTGGAAGGGATACCCGGTAGAAGAGAACTCTTGGGTCAAGCGTTTGGACATGGCCAACGCCGAGGAGCTTGTTAACGACTACGAGTCGCGTATCCAGAAAATTTGGTGGACCGTTAACGACAAAGGCCAAACGGTCGGACGGGATGATAAGATTCCCTTAAACTTACCAATCCATTATCATAACCCGGACACCCCATGTGTCACCGACGTTGAGACAGTCTATTCATCCGAGTGTACGAACCCAAAACACTCGGACGCTCAACCGAATTCTTACCCTTCCTCCGAAATCATTGATACTATTCATCTCCCCGACGACGGCGCTGACAAGGAAGAAGAAGTAAACCTCCAAAATCTCGAACGAATACGAGAAAACTGGGACACCGAGGCTGATGACGATGAAGACACAGACGATGATACCTGGTCTTTCTACTCCCAGTCACGACAATCTACCTCTACCGACGACGAAAACTCAAACAGTTCGCTCCAAACGAGCGAAAATTGAAAATGATCCAACCTATGGTGTAGAAGGGGATTTCCACCGCTCAAACACGAGCATTGAACCCTTAGGGACTGCGGGTCCCGACAGACAGTTGAGGCCTAACCGGCGCAAGGTGGCTCAAGTTCTCTAACGGATGCTTGAGTCCAGGGGGAGAGCGGGTCAGAAGCCGAACACAAGGAGTGACTTTTTTCAGTGTAGCGGAGGCCCAATCGATCCTGTTTTAAAGCAGAAGGGAGACCCTCATACTCGCTCTTGTGGAAGGAAGGAGATACAGAGGTTCAGTGTCTCATCGGGACGAATGAGCCTTAAGGAGGGGGTAATGTTACGGATTATTCTTTTCTTTTTCCTTTTCTTTTCTTTTCTTTTCCTTTCCTTACTCAGCCGGATTACGCGCAGGCGATCATCACGGACTGACTCCCACAGTACTATTTTTAGCGTACCAACGTGTATTTAAGTAGAGCCTCAGCTGGTCTGAACCCCAGCTTCGGCTAAGGTTTATTCTACCTAACTTCGAACTCCGTTCTTCGCGACTATCTGTCCCATCGACTTTCATCGCCTTTGGCCTGTTAGAGCATCATCTACCGAAGTGTGAGTAGCGATCCTAACACGATCTAAGTCGATAGAGTTAGTGGCTAACATCCCCGGCATCTCAACCTTGCTTGAATTCGCAGTACATGGGTAACTTGTGTAAGCTATTCATTTGGCAGACTTGTGTTTGAAATAGAGAAGAATGATATGGGCGTAATAGCGTGCAAAAATTCATGTAGGCACAAGTTGCATTTTTCTGGTCGCAAGTTGGTTATTAGCCACCAAGTTCGCTTGTATTGTTCCGCAAGTTAGTAATTTTTTTTCGCAAGTTTGCTATTGGTTATAGCTTTAGAATAAGTAAGGCCTGGGCTGTGATATACAAATTTCTGTCCAGTCATCCGGACACCTGACATTGGTTATGAACCATATGAAAACTAACATTCTGGGAAGGAATATGGTACCTACGCCGTTCAGCAGGCCATGTGGTGAACCCTTGAACTCTCTGAAATGTTGTTCTCAGTACACCCAATTGAGCTCGATCTATCGCTGTCTTGCAGTACTCCGAGCATTCAGATCTATAAGGGAGTCAGTGGACTGTCCAGACTGAGCGGCTTTGAATCCAGAGATCAAACACCGAAGGGACATGTAATCTGAATTCATCATTGAATAAGCGATGGGGAAGTAGGTAAAGATGAATACGCTAGAAGAATTTGGGCCATTAGTATGGCAATGGCTGAATGACTGGTGTCAAGCACCGAAATAATGTCGGCCGGTTCAGGGGCCACCTCGTCCCGCTCCGAACCCACTCCCCAGATCTTATTCAGAGATCTATGGTAACAACTGATGCTGATGAGTATATCACTATAGGAAAACACTTAACTTGCGGTGCGGGCATGAACTTGCGCACTCAAAAGTAACATGTGACTGGGAAAAACCTAACTTGCGTTCATCGGATTTTTTGCACGCTATTACGCCCATAGAATGAACTCGATTTTCCGGACATTATTACGCCCATAAAGACGAACCGGTACTATCCACAGACGCAGATGCTTCTTCGTATATGTACTATATCCGTCACTTCCGAATAAATCTGACCCTAAATTGATGTGAAGTTTCGCTTTCCTGCTTCAGCCATTGGCAACACATGCATACAGACATTCAAAATTGTACATAATCTGACCTCGAGCCGCACTCGTAGAAGTGTGTTCCAAAGAACGATCAACCAGTCGTGTTCTGATCTTGGGCTCAAACTCGGCTCGCTAATTATCTCTCAGAGTCGATGATTGATCTCTGTCACTACTCGAAGGAATATCTGATGGGCTGTTCTCCTTTCCCATGTACTTAGCATTTGTTATTCTCATCGCCAAAGGGACGGGTTCAAGCATTCCCACGGATATCAGGGTAGTCTGGTTCTGAGAACAAAGCTTCTTCTGATTGTTCTAGAGATCCACTATAGGCTGAATCTGCGTCCACTTGCCTGCTACAAAGGGGAATCAAGATTTGTGTCTTAGATACTTCAACAATGTTGCTCAGAAACACTATTATCCAAGTTTCGATAACATACTCTGAGTTCAGCTCACTTTGGCAGCCCCAAAAGGATCTCCAAAAAGTCACGTTGAACAGCTATGAAGAAATGGATGTGCCATACATTTTAACCCCCAAGTAATACTGCGCTACCTATACCAACGGCGTCTCAGGGCCGTCTATTCAATTTCTGATCATCCTACAGATCCACTTGGCATCTTATCTGGGAGCAGACGGCGTCTTTGTATACATCCCACGCCACTCGCGCAACATTCTCGGAAACAAATCAGTACGAACAAGACAAATCTAGGGAGTTCCAAATTACGATATCAGTCATCGCACAAGTGCACATGTACCCAAACCTATACCATGATACCCGAGCACCCATCCAACCTGTACAATTATGCGTGCGCTGCTTTCCGGGATTAATTCGGTCCCCACGCACTTCGCGAATCATGATACCAACGCTCGGTTCCGAACTCAAACACAAGATATCAGAAACCAAGCATTCCCTTTCCCTCTTTCTGATCATCCTACTTGTCGCATAAAATTTGAAGAAAATATTTCTTTACCCTGCAGTTGTTCGCCGACAGAGGATGCTTCGGCCATGAAGATCGCCCTCGGGTGTTCAGCCGAAGACGAACTCACAATGTGAACCAATTGGAGGATCACGGGCACACGCGAAGTTCACAGAAAAGAAAAGGACATCTTATGGAGGCGATTTCGTAGATATTTCCTTCCTGGCGAGAACTACAGATATAGTAGGTAGCATTCCACGATGCCGTGCACTAGGCTAACCACCAAAAACCACCGTATGTGGCTGTGCAGCAGCACAAGTCAGCAGGCGAGGAAAAGAGCAAAAAAAAGTACACACAAAGCAGTACTATGGACGATTAGGTGCAGGGATCTACGACCGCCCAATGTTCCATACATCTGATTGTCAAGCCATAATTGATGAATGCGTGTCAACTTGATCAAGATCGCTGCAAAGTGACAGGACATGTTGACGGAAAAGGTCGAGACCAGGCTAACTACGCAAAACATTAAATGATGGTTAGACATTGACAGAATTGGTGGAGATATTCTTATCTGTAAAAAGACAATAAGATAAGACGTAGGCTCTCAGGCAAAAGATAAGTGTACCTTGGCAATTAGCGCCCACCACGTCATAAGTTGACTTGTAGGTCCACAAGGAACAGGCACCCGCTTCGTGGGAGATAACAACACCGCGGTCATAGCATAATACTAGGCAACCTACCGCTCGGACCATAGCGACAAAACGGCTATGTCGCAAAATTGTTATGAGAACATTGCTGCAGCAACGAATGCCATCAAGTGTACACCTGAAAAAGGCCAAAAGCACTCATACAGCCCCGAAGTGGGGTATGTCCACGATAATCAACACCTATTGAAAGCGCCTTGAATGCATCTAAAACTTCCCTCCCGAAGCACCACTGGTGCGGGAACCCTGGCGTTGTGACATTGAAAGCGCACCGTGCAGGTCAAGGTAGAGTGAATATCCAGGAGGAGCTCCCTTTCGGAGAATATCATCAGTCGCCGAGCAAGAGAGAGCATTCGGGGGGTCAACGCCCCCTGTGAAAACGAAAGTAGGGTAGTAATGATAAAATGGGTGTAGCGGATCGACGACCTCGATGAACATCTTCCAAACACAAGATTACTCGGTCACTGCATATCGCGGAAGGAGACAAGGACTTACTGTAGAGCAACTAAGTCACTAGTCAGAAGATCCGAACTTGAATAATTTCGTGCTCAAACGCCGTGGATTCGATCGATCAAGAAGACGTGTTACTTTTGCCTTGACCCGTTGTATACATATATGGGTCCATCAAAGCGCTTAATTCTTGGAAGGGAAAACTTGAGGTTCGATCTTGATCGGCTTCGCACTTCCCTGACAGGGAAGGGCGCTGCTATAGTTGTCGGTCAACAATAGAACATACAAATGAAAGAAGAGAAGAGACGCTTACTGAGAGTCGGGCTGTTGAAAGCAGTTGATCCAGGAACTGGCATGCGCCACGGAGACAATGCTTGACTTGATAGACTTGCGTCGAAGGGTGTTTTAACGTCGACAGACGATGGCGGCCATCACTTCTTCTGCATAGAAATGAACGATGGAGGCATGTCTTCGAAGTGGTAGCGAACCAATTCGCAGGGACCAAGAATACATGAACCTCTTTCTTTGGTAATAAGACTGAAGCTACGAATGAAGTCGTCAGCGTTAAGATATAGGTCGAATAAACATCCATGTGTGAACTAACCCAGGAGTATGAGTGGGAAAACAAGACGGTAATGACATTTCTACATGTTCGAAGAGCTTCTTTTTACATGTCAGCCTTAGTCGCAGGTAAAGAACGAACGGCGAAATTATACCTATCCTCGGTAGTATTTGTATCGTCGATATCCATTGTCATCCAACAATTGGCAGCGAGCGTGATTGGAAGGACCAAGCTCTTTGAGTCCAGACTCTACATGAACAAGCTAAAGCCCCCGAAAGCGAATCCGAATGACTGTAAACCATACCTAAAAAACAGAAATCAGCGGCCAAAGGACGAGGGGTATTGTGGAATACCATGCACATATCAATATACCAAGCCACATTGATGGTGGTTGAAGCACTGAGGCCTCACAGCTGTACGAAGCGACGTAAAAAATCTGACCATCAGCTCCAGTCTCTGAAGAAAGATATATCAGGGAAGGAGCTTACTTTCCCTCAGAATTAAACTGATATCCGCAGAGAGACTAGGTCGCACACACTGTTGAACCTTCACACTAACACTGTAAAGTGTCGTTCAGCACCGTTTGCGCATAATGAATGTAGTCATGTCATAGAGTGACCGCGTAGCTCTTGCCAACCCATTTAGAATCTGGTCCTCGAACGTTAGAAAATGAAGTCTGCAGAGGATTAGATTACGCACCACGGTCTACCCCAAGATCATGTTTTTCCCCAATACCTTCAAGCGGTGCACGTGCGCACACTAAACAGCTGGGCTGACGCTTCAGCCATTGTCGACCTAGGTCCTAGTTGTGAGTACCGAACAGGAAGTCGTGCCCCATATGCATTTACAGAGCTTTATTTCATACCTGGAGAACATTTATAATGGTGGCATATGTCTAACACATGGAGAGGTAACCTGCGGACGTTGTGCGTCGTTGGATGGCGGGCACGGTCAAGATACAGCTGGCAGTCGGCTCTTGGCGGCCGATGACAAATCCTGACACAGCCACTGTCGCGACCTTCAGCAACGTTCACCAAACGTCCACTGTGTTCCTCGATAGCGGTCCAATGGCGCGTTATCACGCGTCCCATTTCGAACAATTTGTATTGGAAGTCTTTTTCAACTCAATTGACTTGATGAACAGCCCTAGTTTTGCCCTCCCGTTCAGTGATGCGCTTCTGATTGCAGAACTTATTCAGCAAAGCGTTATAGCCGTAAACCTCCCCCAATGGGATTCAGGAAAATATCCAGGAGGTGCCAAGCTCTAACCAAGATAATCGTTAACTTATCCTCAATGAGCGGACAATGGACGAAAGTGCTCGCATGTTTGTCATAGTGATATCATAGTAGAAAGCTTTGAAAAATGCATAGGTAAAATGATGGGGGTGTCGTATGAAGCCTTTGTTCAGTAGTTGACGCGTCAATCGCAGTCATCGAAACCATCACCCTGGCTCACATTTGATACGTTCTGCAAATGCCATAATTCCAACAGCCCACGTCGAGATGATGTAACTAGGTAGCAATTTCCTCTCTAGGCGGACGATGTACTAATACATATTTGCTCTTGGTGTGTGTAAAGGGTGATCAGCGAATTTACCTGGACTCAAGTTGGACCTCTGATAAGGCACCACCAAGAATTGAGAAAATTTATTGGCCATAATGAGGGGAGGGCTTTCTTTCTCACTGGAACGCAATAGTAGGTGTCTATTCCTTCCGGCAGGCATATTCATGATAACGGTTCTTCAATTGATTCATCTGCAATATTTCAGGCAACTCACTTCGACCTGCTCATAATTTGACTAGCACAAGCAATCTGACTCGGTCGGTGTGTGAGAAATTATGCGAACGGTACATATTATCTTCCTCAGGAAGAATCACATTATTCTTGTCCAAATTGGCAGTGGTCGAGCATTAGGATTGAATGCTCAGTTATCCTAAGAAAACGAGGGTTAGAATGGTCGCCTGCTCGCTACCGCCTTCCGATCGTGTTACTCCCGATGGTCAAAACTCACCAATATAGCGGTAACACACATTCTTTTGTCTATTTTAACAACTGTTCTGATGTGTGACCTCTGTGCTTCTGCAGGAACCATCCTCCCGTGAAATAATATCCTCGAAACAAAATTTGGGGAAATCCTAATCCGTAACCTCCCTTCAACGCTTCCGGATGATATTTTGGTGCAGACGCGGAGTCTTTAACCAAAGCCATCGAGTCCCATGCTGGAATGGAAGATGCATTGTTCCGACATGCCATATTGGGTGAGATCACCCGGTGGAGTCAGGGTGATCACTCGGAATGTCATAACACGCGTCTCCGTTTGTTTCCTCCCACGTATCTACAGAATGACTCAGAACGCGTTCTGTCTTTGGAAGCCAGCTGGCTAAGGTGAGCATATGTTATCTTAATCATATGGTAAATTTTGATTGACACCCGCCTCATAATTTTCACACTGCACTGTATCACCTCTTATTCCTGGAATTTGGTGCCCCAATGATCTTCTTGGTCGTCAAGGCTCCGAGGTTATGGATTGTACTCCTGCAATCAAAAGTAATAGCGGTGTCTTTGTGAGTTGCTCTTCTTCCGATGATCGCGTGTCAAATTGATGAAGAAATACATTCAGCTGAACACCAGACTCATCTGCTCGCATACGGAGACGAGTATGTCTTGCGCCGGTCGAACCACCATGTAACGTCGCTCGGGAGCATTAATGTATGACGCGTATTGAGTCTAGACTGCGCCATGCCACCATCAACGCCTTTTCCCTCGCCACAATAATGTTTAGAGGTGAATAGGTTGGTTCGCGCTATACATTCAATCCAACCCCATCTAACGTTTCCGTTCCTCGGAGCCTGTGCGTCTGTGTCCCTAGTCGAACGTCCCATAATACACATGACTCGACAGTGCACTAACATTCAAAAATAGCTATCAGCATTCGAATTTATGGGAACGTGGCGTCATCGAGCACATCCCCATTCTCCCTCCCTGCGGATAGTAAGCGGCTTAAGCTTCTCTATGCTTCAACTCTTTGAACATGCCATTTTCAGCAACGCGTTTGTAGTATTGTTACAATCCCGCACCCAGATGTCCGCTCAACACCAACACCAACAATGACCCGAGCTTATGGTTTGTTAGTGCCATTGTTCTTCACGCCTAGAAGTCTCTTCTTCGGCGGGGCGTTCGAAGAGCGACGCCGCGATGGCGGTAAGTGCGCCTTTAAGGAGACCCAAATTCGCCGTTTACGGCATTACGGACCACCGGGTCGTATCAGGCACTGTTGAATAGACCGTCACTCACATGACCCCGTTTGCACCCTTTCCTGCCTTCTGGTTTGCGCGGAGAACGGCGGGGGCATGACATGGTACGTTCGTTGATTCGCTGCATGAGGCAAAGGAATTTATGTTTAGGATTTCCGTACCATCTTTGTTATAGCTCACCATTTATTGCTGATCGCCGCAGTTTACGGATTTGTGGCGACGTCTGGTATGTACGTGCTTCTAGCGTAATCCTCCTGTGCGACCCCAATCGTAACTCGAGTCATATGAAGTCATCTCGCCAGCGATAGTAGAGCTTGAGAATTTGGAGAAGCTTTTACGTATTTTGACGCGTTCCGGGTCATGCTGACTACGTTACCCTTACTTCCAGATAATTGGGACGGATCACCGTAATATAAGTCCGCGGTACGCTATGATGATGACTCGGGAGTCCCAGTCGTTAGCATTAGCATAAACAATGTTGATGACAATGTACGGCAACCTGCGAACACATCGCTCAGCCGTCTACTGTTATCTTATCTGCCGCTGTTCCCGACCCTAGCCCACTTTACAATGCCACCATCAAGGTTCGCTTTATTTATTTCGAGCGAGTTCCTCCAGGGCCTGATTTTGATTCTAGTCCCACTCGGATCTTTCGGGGTTGTAGCCCAAACTATATCTTGAGCAGTTAGCCCTTACAGGCCCTTACTAACCCACGGCAAATCATGTTAATCCCGGCCCTCTCATCAGGGTTAGGGTATTCATCCACTCTGCACCGCTCCTCACGAAGTTGAACGTGTACAGAACTCCAAATATTCTAGGACTGATCATACTCCGCGTCACAACACTTAGACGAGCGTCGAAAGATGTTTTGAATGACTTCCTTGGCAGTTTCGCATTCGTTACGAATCTTATGATACATGCAGCATGAATCATATGCAAGGTGAGCTTCTTCATAGTCTCATTCATTTATGTTCCGGAAGTCTCGAGAAATCACCCTAGAAATGGAGGCTGAATGAAAGATATCTTGCAGATGATTTACTCCTCTTCTTTGCATCTTAAATCTACCCCCTTATTTCCCATGGGTGTTATCTCCATGGCCTATTTGGGGATGAAGTCGTACCATCGCCTGCCGCCGCGAACTACTCTAGGGCTTAACGTTACAAAAATATCGTGAACCCTTCCCTATCTCTGACATATCAACAAACAGTATAAGATGATCCTTCCGAAATTGTTCCTAGCTTCGGGATGTGCAATGCGTTTGTTCTAGGTGCCTCACATCGTGCTTCAGGCTCACCAAGGGACCCACACGATGGGATCGATTACCACCTGCTAATAAGGGAGGTATGACCCAGGTAACCGTCTCGTATTAAACTCAATCACCACGCCACAGACTGATCAGGAAGGTTGAAGACGATAATATGGAGACTACTTACTGGGTCTCGATCGAAGGAGATAACCCAGTAAACGCCTAACGAAGAGGTACCCCACGCCAAACGAGTACGGTAACATCTGTCCTCGAGGCATTGTCGGATCTACGTCCTTTACGGCCGATAGTCCGAATGCTCCTTCAGGTTTATCTGAATCTAGGCTGACTTCGACGGATGTAATGTTGCCATAATTCGTGCGTTATCGATAAGGAGTAGATATCTCTCCTTCGTAAGCTGCTTTCTCTGTAAGTTAGGATGTCAATCTAAATATTCTTACCAGTGTCAGAATCTAACTTAACACTCACCCAACTCGCGGTAGTCGTAATTGTCATTTGGTTATTATGCCATACGGGATCATCCTACAAGATCCTACGAGCGGAGAACGCTTTAACTAATTCAACAAGCTTGTAACTGAGTTTCTACACTTGATACTATCATTAGTTCTCTTACCTTGCTGTATCATAGGAACGGTCATTTCACGTGCTTGATGGTTATTACTACGAGGATTATCTATGAGCCTGTATGTTCCTCCCCCCCTCCGAAGCACACCGCCTTCATTGAACCTCAGACTTTGCGGTGCGGCATAAATCCGGCTTCGGCTTCCCCTTCGTTGGCATTTCTTACCATGGGTAACTCTAACGAACCTCATTGTTATTAAAACAGAAACGCGCACATTCAACTGATGAGGTAAGTATTCTGCTTTCTCGATCTCCCAGGCCTCGCGTTCCACGGGCAAAGATTACGAGTTACTGTAATCCCTATAACAGATTCAGCGCTCTTTAACATAACGATGACATATGAGGGTGTACTTTCTCCGGCTTCTTTCCATTGCATCGCATTCATTGAACCCAAGTTTAGTGCGTTATTTTTATTGGAACCAGACACTGCGCGGAATACGAACTCCCATTGGACCAGTTACAACCTCCGTCGTGCTCAATTCTTGACTCTCGCAGTTGGACTTCGTAATAATTAGAACAAACTATGTCCGTTCAACTGATTCCGTTTTTCCAGACCTCGCACTCAAGGTCGTTCTCTGGTAAGCATTACGAGACCATGTTCGTAGAACATCGGGCATGTTGGCGACTTAAAACCTGACTTCCTCCAAGCTCATCTCTCGACATACAATGTCTGGTCAATTCATCACTTCTCCAGACGGCACGCGTATCTGGGCTGATGCTGCCGGCACCCCAGGCAAACCGCCTGTCGTGTTCGTTCATGGATTCCTCACTTCGAGCCTGAACTGGGTTCGCCAGTTTGATGATAGGCGGTTGCTGGATAGTCTGTACATGGTATGACTATCTTTTCTCGGTGTATGCAGATTTTATCTTCAAAACTTCCGGATCAAATACGAAGTCAGCTCAAAGCCTCGCTCTTTGAAACAATCTGATTCCTTTGAATAGACTCGTGGACACGGTCGTAGTGACCAGCCAGAATCAGAGGATGCTTATGCCTCCGCTAGACATGCAGAAGACTTTCATGCTGTATGCGCCGCTTTTGGAGTCACGAAACCGGTTGTCGTGGGCTGGTATGTATACTTTAATTTTTCACCTTGCCTGGGTACCTTAAAAATTTCGAACCTAGGTCCCTTGGCGGTATCATCGTGCCCGACATCCTGTCTAGGTTCGGTACCACCCCGCTTCCCGTGGCAGGACTGATTATGTTCAACGCGATACCATGGCGCTCAATGTTTCCGGAGATCCTCACACCTTACTCTACCAAGATTATGCCTCCCCTATCTTCTCTGGACCTACCCGGTTTTCAGACTGCACTCCAAGAGCTCATCAGCGCCTTTTTTTCTCCGGGATATTTAGAGAAGGTTTGCTTCGAGGAGAAGTGCGCTTGGGTAGGTAGTGCGGCAAGTATGGCGAGTTTCTGTCTATGCAACGGTTTTATCCGGATGCTGATTGAGATGTGAAGAACACTGCGGCAAGAACGTTCTCGATCTCGCGCACGCAAGATGAGACGGCTTTGCTCTCTGTGTCGAAGGAGTTGCCGATTCTCTGTGTCCAGGCTACGGGGGACATGTTGATGGAACTGGAGAAGCACGAGGCTTTTATGAAGAAACACTTTGGTGATAATTTAGACTATCGACGGATTCCGGGAGGCGGGCATGCGCCGTTCTATGAGTTCCCAGGAATTGTGAACCCGATGATTATTGAGTTCGTTCAGCGTGTCTATGATGGCAGTAACCATAATCAAGTCTGAGGTATCGATTCTCGTTTGGAAGGTTGAATTGCATTAAAGTATGGTCATTTAGGTATATCGCGATATGCAGACTACGTAGACGTCCATTTATGATCATTAACTCCGTCTTCTAATTTGATTTTTGTTCTGCGTGTGTATACTCGACCCAGCCGCTGTGTAAGTATTCATAAATTGATTGTACCGGTCGGCTCGTCTGGATTAGCGTCGTGGTCTCTTAACGAGGAAACGGCCTATCCACCAACTTCTCTCCGTTGAGTGAGTAAATCAGCTGTAAGCCATCAAGCTATTATTACGCGTGTACCTTGTTTTTGTACCGGCCATGGAAAAGCTACGCACGATCTGAATTAACTCCCAACAATTAATTCCTCTTTATATGGCGCCAACTTCTACACACGGAGTAGGCGGTGGGAAAAAGAGATCGGTCGGTCGAAGGCCTACATCGATTTTTCGACGTTCGATAGAAAGTGAAAGCTGCCGATTCTTTCGAAAAAAAGTCATACTATCCCTGGGAATGCGCTCCCCCTGCCAGGGTAGGAGGCACACGACTCGAATATTACCCCTGAACGGTTGTCGAGGAGTACTCTACGCTTCCCCGACTTCCAAGAATCAATTCTGACGACATTGCATTATATTACCTGTGGTGCCATCATTACACTGTGGAGTTCAGGTCGCGTTGGACCAGGCAGACCAAACAGAAAAGTACTTGGAATAGCCTGAGAAGAAAGTCTAATTTTGCTGCCAGTGGATCGTACCTAAGGAACTTGCCCCACATGGACCTGAGAGCCTCGTGCTATTCTTTATGGAACAAAGCTAGGTGACCGTACCTGGCGCGTTCTGCGAATGAATGGGAAGCACTCATGTCCTTTTGTTCTCTGAGGAGACTTACAAGAGTTGTATTAAAGGTGCCGAGAAATACTCCGACGTTCCTGTGATTATCAGATTTTGATTAGACGGGCCAATAGGCAGAGAGGGTATCTTTACAGGTTCTGATGAACGTACCTTGGAGCACTCACCTAGACTCTTCAGCTTAATCACCTTGGTACGGATATAAGAGTCAGCAGCTCGCAATTATTCCCGGTCCTGGAGAGATAGCGGAAAGTGCGAAGTATCAACCTTGTAAGGAGAACGAGCGACAATAGCACGAGGATTGTCGCGGGCACATTGATAGATCCAGACCTTAACTCTTTCTTTGGGTGTTCCGATGAAGTAGGCGACCGTCATACCCGACGTTCTTACAATCATATGCATGTTTTAATCAGAAAAGACTATCTTTACACCGTCGTGTGCAATATGGATGATTCCATGACGTCTAAGTATAAGTACTCATGGAGCCGCCTGAAACGATTCACCGGTTATACAAGAAAGAAAACATCCGAACAAAGTGCAAGATGAAACGCCGGTTGGATCTCAGGCTAATGCGAAAGACGAGGAGAACTTGTGTGATGACGAGCTCGGCGCTGAGAAATCAACAACTAGTGCTGACCAACCTTAAATAGGAGCGGATGTGATGAAGAATACGAACATGGAGTAGAGCGTTTGACCGGGAGGTCAGGTACCAGTTTGTTCCTATCAAGGAAATCGGTACTTGTGGAAGAAAGAACCACGGACCGCACGAGTGCAAGTGGATGGATGAAAGTGATTGATTAAGAGTATAACAACGACTGATGATCGCGTACTCGGTGACGCGTAAAAGGAAGGTGGATATCGTATGTCTATTTCGAAAGAAAGACAGCGAGAATAGTGCAAGTGCCGATTGTCAGGTAACCTAGAGAGCGCATGTCACGCAGGAGACATGGCGAAGAGACGCGGTCGTGCGCTTTATCATCTACTTACTTTCCACGAGTCAACGTGGCGATATATCACTCCAGAGTGAATATAAATAATTATTTCATCAGCATGTGGCCAACCCAGAACGGTTATAGCAAATCTCCCTTCCAGCGCGTCTCGATTCCCTGGGCTCGGTTATATCTGGTCTGGGAACTTGCAGACGTCTCAGGTGGGCAGGTTATGTCCCTCTCTATAGGTGATTGTGTGTATCCCACGGAGGATGGCAGGTGAGGTGATTGGGATACAGGATGTCGATGAGTATACAGAAGGTGAATCATGCACTGCCTAGAGGCGATTTCGTACTCGGCAATGGTCAGACCTCCCACAGGACGCGTTCAACGCTGAGGCAGATTGGGAAGCCCGATGAAGGACGGGAGTAAAGTGTCCTTGGCAAGATTTGGTCTCGATTGTTACCAACGAGACCTTGATAGAGTGTAACCGGTCGTCCTTAACGGTAGCTAAAAACCTCCTGCTCCCGCTGATCATGAGTCGGTTCGCGTCACTTGAATGAGTCCTCCAAGTACAACACAGAGGAAGAGGACCTCAACACGTCGAGGAGGGTTTTCTTTCACACCAACGCCGGAGGCAGAGGAGGAGACGCGATGTCGCTAATCGGAGAATGTCGCTTTCTCCGTCTCAGGTTCTCCAACGATATCAAACCCGTTGCAGTGTCGCTACCTCCCGAGAGCCAGTTCGCTTGCGAGCAGGGGAGTCTGTCTGTTCTGGCGCGACGTTTAGGGACTCGGGGTTGTTGTGTGATGAGATGAAGGAGGAGGGGTAGAGGGGTGGGATGTCAACGAAAGTTTGATCTTGATTCTCTCGATCCTGACGTGGTTGTAACGAGAGTAACTTCTACTGTCAGAGCAGCTTCGGAGACGGGGAACATCCTTTGAGATAGATGTTGTGTGACGGGAATGAGAATTTTCCTCTCCCTGAAGGACGATGTGCACTCCTTCGGGAGCAAAGCGCGCGTTTAGGGTCCCGATCGTTACCAGGGAGATCCTGACGCGTAGTACCATCTTCTCGAATGACGGCCGTTCATGAGAGGGGGTGTAATCGGTGCTTCTGCTCCTTGGTTTCCCATACGGCTCGCAAAATTTGATGTCATTTGGATGCGAGATGGACACATATCCTGGTACATGTTCCACTGGTAAACCGCGGTGGTGCAGGGGAAGGTGAATCAAAGTGGAGGGAAGGCGGCGTGTGAATCGTGTTGACACACTGCAAAGAGGCAGAAGGCATAACCGGGTGTTGTGATCCTTAGTTGTTGGTGAAGCGGATGGTAAGGAGGTATGGAAAGAAGAGGGTTTCGGGCCCGCTTGATTTAGATGCGGGTCTTGTTCCTCCTCAATTCAGCTCGTATCATTGGTGCTTGTGCTCATGGATAAATCAAGGAACGAATATACGTCCAAGCGCAGTACCTGCCGAAATGTCAGAGATAAACGAGCTTGAAGAATGAATGTTGCGCACTGGGCCCTGAAGGGATTCCCGAAACCCGACCCAGTGGTACCACCCACACTAACGAAGATAGGAAACATGGGAGACGAAGGATGGGATACTGTGGGCGAGGTGGGATGTCTGAAACGAGGCAGACATGACGACGATCTCTCCTGCATATTTAATCGGCGGTCGTTTAGCTTCCTGGGCAATCAATATAGACATGTCCATCACTAAGGTAGATTGGGAAGGGCGGGAGCAAAGCGTACTTGAAGTCAGGGCTTGGTCTCGATCGCTAACAAAGAGGCCTTGACCCGACCTCCTTCTTTTGGGGGTGATCAGTCATCCTACCCCCCAGCAGTCATGTAACGGTCGCTTGAACCTCCCTCCCACGCATTCCGGTGCCGATTGTGACTTGAGCAGAAGGAGGGGTAACGCGAGAATGTCCTTTTTTGAGCAAGAGGCGGAGGGAGGAGGATGTACGGTCTGAAACGATCTCTGGACGATCACTCTTCCTGGTGTTTTTGTACTTGGAAAACCTCGCACGCGGTTGCCTACTTCTAGTGCTAATTGTCGGATTAAAGTATATCGATTGATGTTGCGCACCTCGCACCGTGAATCGTGATGAGGAAACGCCAGATGATCGCACTTTTGATATCGGATATCGCATCCACCTCAATGCGTTCCGGTTATCTACACAGATCACCCTGAAGTCGAGAGTCGTCACCCATTCCTCAAGCGTGCGAATGAACGCCCCGAATACGAGGGCTTGTCAGTTAGGGGTAAGGCATGCCATTCTGCATTTCTGTACTGAGAACTCGGACTTCCGGTTAATTCTCTCCTTTGTAGCAGACGACGCTCGAATATAGGATTCGTTAGCGGGAGGGTTTTTTGAGGTAGTGGGACTTGGGCACAGACAAAGTGTCTTGATCGTTTACTGACCCTACTTGAATGATGGTAGTGGCGCAGAAGGAGATGGGGGATGGGGGTGATCGCTGTAGTTCCGGGGGGGTGAGCGTGGATTATGGATATGCACGTAGGCAGAAGGGGGAGATATGACGAGGATCTCCCCTGTATGCTCATTTCCCTGTAACCGGTTATCCCTAAATGAAGAATACCGGCGAGGGTGGTTTTTTTTCGCAGCACTGATTGTCAAAGTAAAACTAGTTTGGACTTGGAAGGATAAATCAATAGGTATAGGTGTTGTATGTCCTCTCATTCTCGGGGTGACGGAAACACCAGACGAGCGAAGGCGCCCCCCCCCCTTTTTTTTTTCTCCCCGAATCAGGTGTTGTCGGTTAGGATGCCAGTACCTCCTGGAACGACGGATGGCGGGAGGTTTTGGAGATTGGAGGAGGAGGCGAGTATGTGAGTGTTTGAGCGTAATGGCGGGAGCTAAGGTGTCGATCGTTGCTACGGAGATCGTGATGCGTACTACTCTCAACCCAATGACGGGTGTCCCTCCTATGGATCACTGTTCATTAAGGAGAGGAGGGGAGAGAGGGGGTGGTAAGCGGATGTTTGTGCTCCTCTTCAGTTCGAAATGGATACCGTCCTTCTGTGTAGTTGGTACAGGTTATTCGGCTCGTTGCTTGGGTGCGAAGTCGACATGTTTACAGGCAAGCGAAGGACGAGGTTGAAGCAGAGGAAGGGTGGGATCGAGAAGTAATTTCGTGATCCTGGCGTTGGTTATTGTCGTGGTGTTTCTCAGTGGGGGATGGATGGGGATGCGCTCGCTTGGCTGCTCCTCAATTCGGCTCGTATCATTGGCGCTTGTTCCACGGATAAATCAAGGAACGAATATACGTGCAAGCGCAGTACCTGCCGAGGTGTCAGAGCTTAAGGATAAATGTTGCGTACGCGATGATATATTGACCGGCGCAGATGCATGGTATGGGTGCAATACTCGAGTGGGTGCCTAATATGATATTTATAAACAGATGGTTAGTATCAGAAAACGATTGCACCTAACGTGAGAATTATCTAAGCGAGAGTACCGGGTACGAAGATGTTAAAGTTGACGAGAAATTCCCGAAGTTTATGCACTCGGCAAATGCCGACATTTCTTTCCTCTTTACTTTCACGGGCATCTGCGTGAAGATTTTTTGTTAGTAGGCATGGTACGCAACATTCAATGCTGACTTTGTTCGGGTGTATGTGACACCAACGCTTGTTGGACAGGTATGCCGCTGCGTGCTACGTTATGGTTGTGTGCTGGAGCCGAATAGGATAACGATGCCTTGTTTTTCGCTGAGGAGCAGAAGACCGATTGCACCCGGTTAATTGAACGACAATCTATAGGAGGGCTAGGTAACCGGTAACGATCGAGACACCGCTTTGTTCCCGTCCCTCACACATAATTGCGGTCGAACACTCATATACGTATACGTGTGCCATGCCCTGCTCACCCTTCCTCTTGTATGCCGCCTCTCTACCCCGAGCTGTACGACTTGATCATCGACCACCTCGCGGATGACTTTGGAGCGCTCGGGGCGTGCGCGCTGGTGTGTAGCGGGTTTTTACCAAGGTGTCGGCATTATATGTTTCGGGATGTGGTGTTTTATCCTCCGAGGGCGCCGGGGGAGGAGAGTCGGTGTGGGGTGTTCCTACGGTGTTTTGGGGATAGGGCTGGGCTTGTGGAGGGTCTGACGGTTTATGAGAGGGGGTTGCCTGGGGGTAAGGGGATGCGGACGGATGAGTGGATGGGGGATTTACCGAGGGTGCTGCCGCTGTTTGTATCCCTGCGGAGGGTGAGGTTTCGGGGGGGATGTGGTTGGATAAAGGGAGGATGAGATCTTGGGAGGGGGTGTTGGGGAGGTTGACGGGGGTGACGTTGGATGGGGTGTGCTTTGGGGGGTCTGGGGGAGATGGGGAGGTTTTTTGGGTGTGTGCCGCGGTTGAGAGCGTTGGTGGTGAATGTGCATTTCTGTTGGGAGGGGAGAGGAGTGTGGTGTACAGGGAGGGCTGTGTAGGGAGTTGGAGACGCTGAGAGTAGGGGACTGGGAGTTTGCGGGCGGGGTGGATGAGGTACCTCTTTGGGAGGGAGGGGGTTATTTCGTTGGAAAGATTGAGGGATGTGGTGTGGCCTGTTACGTCGGAGGTGGGGAGTTGGATGCCGGGTGTGCATGAACTGTTTGGGCGGGCGAAGAGGTTGGAGAGGGCGATGTTGTTGGATTGGAGGGGGAGTCATCGGAATCTTGATCGTGAGTCTTGTTGTTTCTGCGTGTCTGACTAGTCTGATGGTCCTCGAGATATCACACCCATACCGGATATCAGTCACCTGCGTTTCCTGACTGTATTTGTCCCTCTTGCGTATACGGACCGATACGAGGTTCGGAGAGCTCTGGTGTGCAGCAAGGACAAGGTGGACAAGGTGGAAACGGCGGTGTCTGTGCTGGATTGGACGAGGAGGATGCTCGATACGGGCGTGAGGTTGGAGGAGGTGGTGATCATTGTGAATGGCAAGTCTGTGGTGGAGGACGAGGCTGTGAGGCAGGCTTGGGCGCGCGTGTTGAGGTCGGGTGTCGTGGTTAGGGTGGAAGGAGGGTGGAAGGAGACGGTGAAGGAATGGATTGGATGGCCGAGGGTAGAGCGCGCAGAGAGGAGAGAGGGGTTGTATGAGTTGTAGGCTGGCTTGATGACAGAGCGTACAACATGTGGTGGTATATGCGTCTCCCGGTGTGGACCTGCCGGTGCAACGAGGAGATTCCTATCAGCTACGCGTCTTTCTCTGCCGAATGATTGTATGTTGTCTGCCATGAAATCGACAGTCTTCTAACAACCAGCCAGGAATGAGTGTGAGCGATTGGTGACCCTTCTGGTGATTGAGAGGCAGGGCAAAGAGTCGGAGAAAGGATGATCCGGAATCTAGAGGGCACAAACAAACATCATCAACGCTTTATTCTTTTCGTCCACCACCACCACGAGCCACGCGTATCATTTCCTTGAGCGTTATGCGCAAGTCTATACCTACGTTGCTAACGTAGCCAAGCACGCGTCTGAAGTCATAGAGATACTGATTCCGTTTTTTTGCTCCCAGGACAGACAACACGCGTCAAGATACAACGCTCGACATCTCAGGTATCACGAGCTCACGGACCTCAGCCCATGGATTCCAGGATAATACGCGTAATGTGCTGCTGACAAGAGGGAGGCGCTGCTATGAACAACAGTGCCCGTTAACATGAACCAACCAGCCCTCTTCTCCTCGACAGAGCGCATATGGCGATGGATTCGATTCAGGAGAGCGGGGATAATCGATATATGAAAGCGATTACACGTGCGTCTCTTGACATTGTTTCCCTCGTTGGCGTTAACTGACTGTTTAGCAGGGTATTGACGACCGCGCTACTTCACTGGACGTTCATACCCTCACTGAACTCTATACGACGTCCCATCAAGTTCCTGTAGCTTACATCCCATAACAAGTCCTCGGCAACATTCGCCTCGCGGACCACATCCCGACGCGACGCTCAAGTCTTTCCCACCTTCCATCGCTGGGGATGTAACTAGACTATGCATTCCCAACGATGCGGATCTACTTGGGATGTGGCTGCTGACACAAGGAATGCAGAGCTTGCTCGATGGGACCTGAGGCGGCGGAAACGGAGAAGCAGCAGAATGGGTTGGGAGGGGATACACGGCCGCAACAAGCGTTGTGCCGACGTTCGAGTATGATGAAGCTAAAGTCGCATCCTAACGTCCCTTCCGTATAATTTGTATCCCATACCCCGAGCTAGACGTCCTCCTCATAACCAGGCCTCGATCCCCCACACGGATGAGACGACTCGGAGGGGCGTGCTGTGCTACCCCCCCAATTGACGCAATCGGGGAATTGGGCGCACGACTCACGAGAGGGTGTTGGTGCACGGGGTGGATGCAGGCGAATCCGGCGTACAGTCTTCTCAAATCAAAATAGGTGCGGAGCGCATGTCAGGTTCTGGTATGCGTCTTGTAGGTATCCATTCTTCGGCATTTATTGATGCTTTGACAGGTTCCGGGTACGGAACAAAGCCATCGTCCCTCCGGGCGCTGACGTTCGAATCGTCACTGGGAGCGTCGAGTGTTGCAATCGTTCCAGTCTAGATGTTCAAAGCGTAACCCATGAATGAGCCAGGTGCCAGAAATCGATTTGGCCAGTATCCACTAATGCTTGGTGTTCCAGCCAAAAACACCATTGTCGACTCGGCAGGACTAGAGGGAAGAATCTGGATCGCCGCAGATGCTACGTCGATGGCGCCAGTGGTGAAGACATCAGCTATAGTTCGTTTTGCCCTTACCATTCCCCTTTTCCTGTCGAACGACAACCTTGCTTGTTGCTCCCCTCCCTGTCTCCTTCTCGTTTCGCTATGCCAAAGTCTTGCGCGAGCAATGATCTCTGGCATCCACTCATTTCGTATCTCTTTGTCTTGAGTCGTCAATTCAGATGATGGCCCCGTTCCCATCTCGCATGTCATCTCGCTGCTACTGAACATCTGCTCATTGTTCGGATCCCATGACACAAGTTGGGTACCCTCGTCATAATTGCACTCAATACCCGCGTTATCCTCCCTCCCGCATGTTCATCCTCTATCCAGAGATATCCGGACGTTCTTCCTTTGTGTGCCGTTCCAACACCTCAATCCTGCCCCGCTCTCATGGATTTTAGTACATAGCTGACGAGGATATCCTCACTGTGCGGCTGACAAAGGGACGATGCTGCAGAGTGGATCAATCGGCTCTTGTTTCGAGCGAAATGGATCGGGAAAGTGTGGATGTAAGTGTCCCTCGACGTTTTTTTCTTGGGTCGGCGTTTGTTGACTTTTTGGCAGGTCCTGTATGGTGCCGACAACTGTAGCAGACTTACACGGCGTAGCAGCATCGCCTTTTATACTCGACAGATTGCATGCAGCCATGGCTTCGATTTAGGAGAGCGGGAGTAATCGACATACGAAGACGACTATGGCTCGATTTAAGTGTGTGTCTCGACATGGTTCCCCTTGTTAGCGTTCACTGAATTTTTTAACAGGGATACGGTGCTTCCCTTTTCTCTGTCAAGTACCGGGCGCCAACGTTCGAATCCCTCGCTGGTACTGTATGCCGAACATAGGGACGAAGCCCAAGCCTGAAGTCACATCCTCGACCCACGTTACCATCCTCGCCGCCATTGAACATCTGCTCAAGTTACATTTGGCTCTTGTCGTTCGCATCCCTAGGTTTTTTCGTCATAGGTACTGAAGCGGAAGCTGAAGAGCACGAGTCGACACTGCGCGCTGGGAACGTCGAATGCGGGAGTCACGGCCAAGTTTCCTTTCCCAATCCCGGCACCGAGCGCAACACATTACAATGATTTGGCTAGACCGTCATGATGGTGCCTCGCTGTTCTTCTCCATGACTAAGCCGTTCGTCCCAGCAGGAAAGGTATTCCGGATTAGAGAGCAAGGTCGTCGTGGAACAAGTCGTTCATTGCTGTGTTTCCCCCTTCCTGTTGAGCGACAACCCCCACTTGCCGTTCAACTCATCTCTCTTGTGCTCATTCCTTATCTCATCTCTCGACTTGCAATTACCCAACGCGGGCAGTAACAAGCTAGCTATCCTGTTCAATGTGTTGACAGGTATCTGTCACAGCAAGCTTCTTATGTCTGGCACATCCAATTGCTTGCTCCAAGCAACCGGTCCTTCTACACGCTCTGGCTGGGCTGTGTATTCACGGCGAAGGGATGGTAGTGCTAGGTCTCCAGGACCCTGCCCGTGAGGATTTTAGCACATAGTTGGCAAAGTGTGCTGCTGGGAAAGGGATGACGCTGCAGAGCGTTAAAATGAACCCATCGACTGCCTTACCTTTCTTCCTGCCGCTGGGGCGTCCGCGTATGACGAAGACAGAGCTTTCGATTTGAGCAACGGAGCGTGGATGTAAGTGTCTCTCGACATTGTTTCCCTTGGTCAGCGTTTTTTGACTTTTTAGCAGGTCTTGACCACAACTTTGTCATTCCTGACTGCAGCATGCTTCTTACTTTCTTTGTCTGTGTCGTCTTCAGTATGCTGCGACTGCGGGTTACTGATGTTCGAAAAGCCGTGACCAACTAAGCTTCACTTCCCACTTCCCTATGGTTTTCCATGTACTTGCACGCCGTCGCACCAACATTACAACAGACAGCATCTAGCGTGTAGTGTTTGCATTCCTGGCCAGCATCCAACCTTGGAATGACAGACTCGCTTAGACGCGACATTCATGATGACGTCAGTGCCATGCGGAGATGAAAGTTAACTTTTGAATTGTCGAACATTGGTGTGGCGTTGCATCTGAGGTATAGTCACGTTTATCCTCGATGTCCAAGTAATTAACGTTTGGGATTGTAGTCATTCAATGCTGGTATGTTAGCCAACAACGCTGTCGAGATTTAGAAGGCTGATAGCTGTGGCTTTCGTGGTCGCCCTTTTGTATGTTTTGTATCTGCAGGAGCTGGTTAGGGCGGTGCTTCGCGCCGAGATGCGCGGGACTTTATTAGATCGGTTACGCGACTTTCTCTGCCACCTGTAGGTTCTTGTCCACAATACATGAAATAAACATTCTTCTACCAAGCACCCTGCATCCAGGAAGGAGAGTGACCGATTGATTGGTGGTCCGGTCGACACTCCTCCCTGCCTTCTCAATTCCGGGCAAATTCAACCCGACTACGTTTGTTTCATCAGGGTTTCGCCTATCCCTTTGCAGGGGAATCGGTGCTGCGAACAACTTGGGGATGCGGCAACTACACTTCGAAGGAGGGTGTTTTGTTATTCAACGGTTATGCCAAGAAGTTGTGCATTTGGTCTTGCGCACGACGTTTGAGGTCCAAAAATTCTCTGATCACGACGAATAAGTGCATTAAACCTTGTCGCATTACCTGTGTCATTGACGCTGGTGATTACCCGCTTGATGAGCCAGATCTTGATTTCGCTCGGTACCCATTGCACTTCAATCCACTGTACTATTCTGAATATCCCGTTGATGTGTTTTCGAGCTCTAAATGTGTGTGCCTGTCATGGATTTCATGTCTTTTCCGGTCTGTACATGAGTCAACACATGCCTACTTTCGGCCTTCTCGGCCTTGACCTCGGCTTACTGGTATTTTCTCTTATTTTCTCTTACTTTCTCTCTTCTTCTTGTGACTGCTAGAATAATTATGACTCAATCCCTACTAGTAGTATATAAATATTGTACTTATCCTTGTATTAGAATCTCATGCTAATTTTACCCACCGTCGAACGTCCACTTAACTGTGTGAATTAAGCAACCTTGATTGGTTACGCCTAGCGCTTGCCAATCAACTGCTTCCCGACTACGCCTAGCGCTTGTTAGCACCCTTACGGATCCCTCTTGGTGGTTGGAACTCGGCTTACGGACATCCTCGCTCACAACTTGGGTTTTACTCGAGTACTCGTTACCTCGTGTATTAGCTCAAATAACCCTAATCCTTAACAGTGGCGGTGGTTGGAAAAGTGTTACTCTGTGTATGCAGGATGGGTGCATGCTCAAGCTGTGTATATTGGCAGGCGGTTTGTGATCTAAGACGCCGTTGTGAATGCTCGGGTTGTTTTGACGGCCGATGTAGTGGAAGCATCTACGTTTCATCCCAGATTGTTCTCCGATACCCGTGGGGAGTGTAATCGATTATATTTTTCCATCAAATGCTTCGGGTAAATCTTTGCACATGAGTGAACGAGAGCATACTGCGTGGAATCTTAGCTTGAGCAGCCACCGCCCTTAAAAACTAGCTAGCCCCCTGGGAAGTTCGCAGTCTCATACATTGATGTCACATCATACACAGAGGGTCGCATGTGCGTGAATCTGCATCTCGGAAGGAAACGGAGTTAAAGGAAAGAATCAGGGACCGGCGTGTAACCGCTGCTACAAGGATCTGCTTTACAGTTGCTTACCGGGTCTCTCGCAATACAGGTGTCGGATCCGACACCTGTTCTCTTGTAAACCAAAGTGAGTTGTCACTCCACTAATCGCAGGTTCTGAGACTAACCTAATCTTGTAAAGGCCGCGGAGCATTTGAACTACATAGATTAGGATTAGACAGAGTGCGGAGGTTAATGCACATCGAGGAACATCTACGTCGGTGTCCGACCGGAATTCCGTACATAGCATGACAACCTTGAATCGGTGGTTAGGAAGAGGCGCCAGGACCATCAAAAAGATGAAGCCAGGGTCCTGTTTACTTCATGGGCTACTTTTGCAGCTGTAGCCCACACAGCTTTGGAGTGATTGGGGATGCTGACATCACGACGAGCGCTCCACCTTTAGCGAAGCATACCCTCTACGGTAAATAACATCATAGATCAGGCTGATTTATATCGATGTTAAGTATGTTAAGCGCGGACTACACACATCGCATGATTCTTCAATTCATTCCGGCGCTTAGATAGCATCCTCGTGAGTACCGCCTCGTGATCCACGTTTCATGAACTCGAATTGGTGATATCTGTTGTTTTTCAAGACCATATATGCGCATTGGTCCTTGGAAACCTCTTTTCGCCTGCAAAGATCATTTTTACCTCATTTCCATTCCATGAACAGTCTATCCGACTCCAACATGACTACTATCTCCCCTCGCATCGAGAAGAAGATTCAGCGCTGTTTCTTCGTTTCTCTTGCTTTTGTAATTGTTATTCCTATCCTCTGCGTCGTCTTAGGAAAGACTCTGCATCCTGATGAGTTTTCATACGATGCAATGCCTTCCTCGGACGACAAAATTCGAATGGTGAGCTTCCCTGTCGTCATGGCTCACTGTTGGGCTCACAGCAAAAGGTTTCCCTGGACGCGGATTTGCTATCTGCGGATTTGAAGCAGGCAACGATAGTCCTTGATTGGGGCATTACCCGTGATACCTGTGATCCTTATGATGCAAATTCCGAGTGTGCAATCGTCAATATTTATTTTGATGAGTGAGTGCTGTATTTTGTAAATCTTCTGTCATACAGATCAATTTTTTGCAGAAATCTTCTTCAACACTCTGATACGAACAGCAGCGATCCATCTGACAACAATGTGCCCACGGATCCTACATTTGTCTGGAATGTCACTGCATCTTACAATATACTTTCCAATTTCCCGAGGTTCCAGACAGAGCTTTCCATATTTCCACATTCCAAGCATTCAGGAAAACATACACGTTCGAGCGACGTGTATTATCCCTTTGATAAGTAATTGCATTCCCATCTCTACAATAGAATTATCACTCATTCCTCTTAACAGGTACATTGCTGAAGTATTTGCCTTCGCCCGAGATGCAAGCACCCAGGAACCTGTGAGATTATTTCTCGACTCAACCTCTGGACTTGCTGCGTAAGTACCCTTTAGCTGCTGCATGGTCTGATAATAAAACAAATTCAAGAGGACTCAAAGTCATGGGTGACGTTGCTAATACCTCTGGTTTAGCCAATGACGGTATTCCAGAAGTTATCGGTGTTTTAGTTCATATAAAAAGAGGGACTTTGGTGATATTTTATAGTCTTGTGATCACAATCATATTCTGTTGGTGCGATTTCCTTGTGCAAATGAAATAGGACTCATCATTTTCCCACTTAACTAGGGCTTATCACCCTCGCAATATGTTTTGTTATGATTATGACTGTAGGGTTCGGCTTCCGACAGAGAAATGAGATTGTCGTCGTTCCTGTTGGGATCCTGTTTGCATTTATTCAGTTGCGTTCAACGATGCCTGGAGCCCCAGATGGATTTGGTATGTTACTTCAAGTTAATCCGATTCTCGACACTGATACAAATGATCCAGGTGACATTTTAGGTGTGTCAAGTGTGACTCCTCATTGCGAAATGACTCAATGAATGTTAGATTTTGTCGGTGTACTGCCATGCCTGGTTCTTCTATCCATTTGCGTAAGTCAATGTTATTCTAAACTACTCGTGCTAATAACATACAACTCCCTAGGCCGTAACCATGGTCGGAATCTATGTTTTCACTGATCCCGCAAAGGATTCTCGTCCAGATCTCACTTGGTCTGCCTTAGGTGAGCTGGGCCTTCACAATCCGTGGTGTCATTGTATGAACAAGTCCTTCCGAAGTACAAACCCTCACTCGCCTTAGAAATAGAGTATTCAGAAAGAAGGGGAGCAAGTATAAACAGCTATCAGACTCCCATGACATGCTTCAAATTCCGTTGACGGACGTTTGAAATGGTACAGCTGGTGATTTTTTATCACAACTTTATAATGTAGATGTAAGGGATATGGATTTCCTTCGGAACGGTTAGCTATGTCACTTCTTGCTTTCTATCTCCCTACAGCTTTGGACTGCTACATATGCACCATCTTCGGCCTTTTCGCTTCTTAACCTTTGATTTTCACCTTATCTCCTGTCTTTGACTCCATCGTACTATGGATAATATACCTACGCCGATCGTACTCCGTTCTCTGGTCGGAGACCCTCCGTAAGGTAGATTGCTTACAGTAGGGCATTGGTAGAAAGTAAGTGGATACTAACGTAGCTATCCTGTATGTATTGCTCTTAATTAAATAATGCTATGAATCATGGATTTCCCGTCTCGTTGAAATGTGTATAACGTGTTGTTTCAGGAAACGGTATCGAGGAAACCATATAGTAGCATGCAGTATGCAACCATGAGGACTCCGAAGGATCGGGTCACATATTAAGTCGGTTTTAAAGGCAGCGCTTAAAAATCGTGTTGCTTGCGAAAAAATATAGCAAGCAAAGCTTCGGTATTCCTTTGAAGGTCAACGAAGTTCATCCTCATTACTTACACAACGTCCTGAAAGATATGGATTCGTAGCTCTATCAATCTCGTCGTCTTGTGGGACGTATGGATCCTCAAGGCTCTTATATACGACAGTTCTTCTTGCTGAAAATATGCAAATGAAAATGATATTGACTTCCCTGATTTTCCTAGATGGAGTAAGTACCTAACTTCGTACGCAAACCATGGTCCATAGCACGCGTCCATTATTTTGGTATCGGGTCTCAAACAAGGAAAGTCTTTGGGCTCATCGAAACGAGATACGATTTCATTTTTTACCATACAACCCAGATAAGCGGAAGCTCGAGGTCCAAAAATTCTCTAATCACGATGAAAAAGCGCATTATTTCTGGTAGCCGAACGAACTGGGATATCTATTATTCATCTCGTCCATGGTATTCCACATAATGGAACTACGATGGCTGTCCTCAAACTAGGGTATCACGGGCGTACTATTCCACGCAGCCTTGTCTCTAAGGTCGGCGAAGCACGTGTACTAGTAGTACCAAGTACTCTAGTTTAGCCTGTAATCTCGCCGTCCTATTTTGAAATTGTCTGAGGTTATCCCAGTCGCCCATGCCAAAATCAAAACTATGGATATCAGGTCGTAAGCATACCAGTAATCCTTGTGGACTGCGTTACCTGGAATTGGTCACGTATCCTAGTGGTGCGTGGGTGGCGCAGTGACCTTGGTGGTGGTGGTGGTGTTACCGGCGCCAGGTCCCAATAAGGAACGGCCGGGTCCACAGCCCTGACATGGCGAACCATGCGCTGTGGCTGCAAAGGCTCATACCGTTGTAATCACACTGTTGAGTGCGTCTCGCGGAGTAGAGACTCTTCGCAGGGTACACAATTGAATGAAAAGTGATGGGGATGAGCATAATCGAACACGGAGAACCAGTTAGCATTGGTGTATACCTCGAAAATCCGGTGCAGTGTATGACTCCTTAATAAGAATCAGTGCCGTCCAAAAGGAGGAGCGTTATGAAATGGCTCATGAGACATGTGCGTCAACAATGACAGTGAAAGAACATGTGAACAAATGTGAAACGCGTAACGGGAGAGTGAGACATGGTGCACGGGCCATGAGGTGTATGGAAGGTCAGCAGCAATGAGAAGATATCAAGGACAATGGGAGCATACGAATCATCCACCAAGAAACAAAGAACCACAGACTGCAGGAACGAAACACAAGCATCATGTGCGCACAACAAACGAGGCCCGTTGTTTCGCTCAAGCCTTAGCCCATGAAAATGATGAAACGGAAACCAAGAACAGCGAAACAGGCAAGCTCCTTCGAGAAAGAGACTGCCTGCGAACGAAACACCGAGTACCACCAGACTGGTGACATCCTTCGCGAAGGACACCACCAGCGGACGTAACCACCGAGTACCACTGCACAGGTGAGATCTTTCGGAAAGGATCCCATCTGTGGACGTAACCACTACACAGGCGATATCCTTCGCAAAGGACACCACCTGTGGACGTATCCACTGCACAGATGAAATCCTTCGCAAAGGACTCCATCTGCGGACGTAACAACAGAGCACCGTCTGCAACGGCATCGGCAGGGCCTTTAAGCCCACGCGAAGGCTGAGCGATTGAGACAGAGATATGGTGGTAGGAGGTGAGCTGCACTATTTCGGCCCGGAGTGAACCTGATCAAGTCATGTACCGGTCGGCCCCTATGCATTATGTCCTGTCCTCTCCCAGCTGTAGTAATGGGTGAGGATTCTCAAGGCTGCGTACCGTGTTGTATCCCTCGGGGTAACGAGATCCACACTTTGAACAAGAAATTGGGTGATTGTTTTGTGCTTACTTGTCTAGAATATAGATCTATAAGAAATGTGTACGACGATACGGTAGTTGTGAGTCGGTGTGTTCTTGCACCTCAATTGCGACATAATATTAGAGCCATCTTGCCTTTGGTCTTCCTCGTAGCTGGGGTCAATGGGGAAACCTTAATGGGTGCGCGGGTGCTGGGTACGGCATCGGCACTGAAATTGAACTTCGATGGCGATGCATTGATGGGTTATGATCTCGGCAAACGCCGACGTCTCTTTCTCTTACGCTGTTACGATTTCTCGGACCAAGGACAGAGAAACGGACAAGCTTTCGATTTGGACAGAATGGAGTGGAGGAGAGCGCGATAATCGATAAGCATGAGGAGAATACACGTGCGTCTCTCGATGATGGACCCTTAATCCGTGTTCGCTGACTTTTTATGTAACAGGTCCTCCCTGGTGCTGAGAACGACACTCCTAACTCAGACTGCAACAAGCGTTCTGGATACAGTGCCGACGTTCGAGCATCCTAGAGATTCGATGAAGCTACAGTCGCGTCGTCGCCCATTTCCTCCAACGCCATGCGCACGCCGTCCCACCAAGATCTCGTATCATCTGCATTCCGTACCCCGCGCTAGGCGTCCTCCTCATGACCAGGCTCAATACTTACTCCTGCGTGCACTTCCCGAAGTTCTACTCTACCGCCTCGATCCTCTGCACGGGTGATACGAGTCCTGGAGTATATCCCGGAGGGTCATGCTACGCGGAATTGACGAGTTTCACCGCCTCTGGAAATCTGCGCACGACTCACGAGACGAATGTCGAGGGTGTTGAGGCGTGAGGTGGATGCAGGCGATCGGGCGCACCGATGCGGAGCACATGCCAGGTTCTGGTTTCGTCGGCATCTTTTCTTGGGCGTTCACTGATGTTTTAACAGGATTGTTGTCGGGGGGTACTGAAGCTAAGGCTGGAATATCATGAGCCGACACTGGGAATATCGGGTGTGGAGTCGCAGCCGAGCTTCCTTTCCCCGTGACGATCTGAGGTTCAGAGCACAAACTATCAGTGGGCTAGGTGGGCAGCCCAATAATGATTCGGCCAGACTGTCACGATGATGCCCTCGAGGTAGAGCCGCTTTTATTCTCAATGTTTACAGGCACTGATACTTGACTAGTCTCTCAAAATCAGCAAAGCTATTCCACCGTTATGGATCGCATCCTTGTCCTTACGACAGACTCGATGAGTACATATCGGCCTTGACATCCTCCACACAGCAGCGCAGCAAGCTTCCATGCTACCGGGATGGACTGGACGTGCCGGACTGGGTGCTACGTTCGAGAGACACGGTGTCAAAAGTCTCCAGGATCACGTATACGCCGCTCTCATGGCTTACAAGGACAAAGGACGGCGCTGCAGAAGGAACCAATCGGCTCTTCCAGTGGCTTAGGAACGACAGGGCTTTCGAATTGTGTGAAATGGATGAGGGGAAACGTGTATGTGAGCAGTGCTGGTGTTGTTTCCCTTGTCAGTGTTTGCTGACTTTTTTTAACAGGTCTTGTATGGTACCTGACGACCATAACTTCGTCGCTCCTAGTTGCAATGGACTTCCTGCTTCCCTTTTCTGCGTCGTCTTCAAGGTCGTGATCAGCGGGCGGTACTGGTACCAGGCGCTTCTCACGGAATGTCGAACCTTTCATTTGTTCTCAATTTGTTCTATGGATGAAGTCACATCCTCGACCAACGAAGCCTCACTTCTCTTTGGTCCCCTCGTCCACCGTCCCACCAACACCCTCTCAAGTAGCGGCAGGCGTCATCTAGCACGCATAGTTTGCATCCCATAGTACGGGCTCGCCAATGTCTAACTTTGGAACGACAGGATTTGACAAGATTTTCATGATGACGTCATCGCCGTGCATTCCTATCGTTAACGTTTGAACTGTCGAAGTTCAGTGTGGCGTCGCGTCGGATCAGGTTAAGGTCCCATCTGTTCTCAATGTTTAAACAACTAACGATTGGGCTTGTAGTCATTCAACGTTGGCATGTAGGTCGGCCAGCTATGTCGTCGCCCGGATCATCGAGGCTCCCAGCAGGATGGAGAGGGAGGAGTCGTGGCGGTCATAGCGTCGGCTACATCCCTCATGGTCAACCTTTCTCAATCCACGGGAGCCAAGTTCGGGAAGTGCTTCGCGTCGAGATGCGTGCATCTCTTCAACACACGGGACGTTTTTATGCATCGAACCATGCTGTGAAGGGCTACCAAAGTTCTATCGACTGCTGACACCAAACCAATCGTCCACAGTCGGTTGCTGGTGGCGTACCCCTCGGATCCATTGCTCTCTACCCCTCGCCATGCATTGTGTGAAGACGTATCCAGTCGTCACTCGAACTCACTCCTCCCTGCCATCTTCTCCTCAGCTCCGAGTTCGACTTGTTTCGCGTGTTGATATCGTCGGTACCCTTGGAGATGGAGAAGTCTGATGCTGTGCTTGAGGATGCGATGTCCATACTTCGACGGAGAGTGATTTGCCACAGCGGTTATATCAAGGATTTGGTGTTTGGGCACTCGTATTCTGTGGTATCTTACCAGCCGGCTCGATGGGAGATAGTCGGTCTGCCCTGAGGAGTAGGGCGCCTTGGAAGATGCTGGTGATTGCGGACTGCCGCGGGGTAGCCCTTCGCAGGCAAATGCGTCATCTTTCGACTGCTCTGATACGTTTGAAACGCTTGCTGAGCCGCATATCGGTCTTGACACCGTAGCGCGGTGATCGGCCTTCAGACTCAAGCCTTACCGGGATGTTATACGTGTTTATTCTGGCTGGGTGTTACCGTTCAAGAACCATTCGCCTGGATGAACGTGTGACGTTGCGTTAGGTATGGTTGCTTTTCCTCTCAGCTAATACTCAGCTAATATAGTATCTTTTCCCAGTTTGTGTTTTAGTACCTCAGCCAATGCTGCTGTCGAGAACGCCTCTACCGAAGTCCTTACAGAGACAGGAACCGGATCGAACGCTGCATTGCCCGGCAATTATGGGATTATTCGTGGAATTTTCCGTTCCTCTGTGTATTGTTAAAAGTGGGCGTCCCAATGTTCAGAGTTTTGATTTCCTGCTGGTTCACTGGAATGATCTGAGACAAGCAAGATAGGGCCGTGCAATTCCAACTAGATGTAGGCCCTATCTAATAGGATGAGTACCTGCGCAGACGAAGACGTAGACGCAGTAGTTATCCAAAGAACGGACGGAAGAAGTGAGCATGCACGGAAGGATGTCGAACTGTACACAAAATTGGGCTAAAGGCTCTGGGAGTACAGATAGGGAATTTGATGCTCTACTCCAATACTTCTGATACCATCCACCGCTGCTGAGCTATTGGTGACCTTTCTGGTAATCAAACTCGGTTATTGAGAAGGAACAATGAATGCAAGAATAAGTAGTGGAACAAACGGAAAAAGGATGATCCGAAATCTAGAGGGCGTAATGGCAAACAAACATCATCAACGCCTCGTTCTCTTCGTCCACCACCAGTCTTTTTCTGGCTGGTTATTCGCGAGTCTCTATCTGCGCAGTAGGGTAACTATACGTGCGGGTGACATCATAGTGGTGCTGATTCTATCTTTTGTTTCCAGGTCATACCCAATATGCAGGGATCTAGTAGATGGCATTGCTCGTAGTCTCTAGTGTCACGAACGGCATCTCCGCGGATGGATCCTGGGATGTGCTGCTGGAAAAATGATAGCGACAACAAGGCTTTTCTACATTCGTCACCGGGGCTTGCCCCCATGAACCACCGGCCAAGGACAGAGAGACGGACAAGCTTTCGATTCGAGCAAACTGGATGTAGAGCGTATAGGGATGAACATTTGCAGGCGAATACACGTGCGTCTCTCGATATTGTATCCTTCGTTAGCGTTCAATGAGTCTTTAGCAGGTCTTCATTGGTGCTGACGACGTGCTCATAACCGCAACAAGCGTCCCGGATACGTGAACGTCAGACATTCTACGGTTGCGTTTCTCCATATGCCGTCCCAAAAAGCTCGTATCATTCGCATTCCATAGCACGGGCCCGGTGTCTTCATCATAACCGGGTTCAACACCTACTCCTGAATGTCTGTCCTTCGCTTCCACGGTCTCAAACCCTTGCACGGGACGGGTGGGACGGGTTCTCAGGGTCAGGCGCCTTACCAGGGTGTTAGTAGGCGAATCGGGCGCACTGTCTATTCGAGTTAAGCATAAGCACGGAGTTCGATGGATGCAGGACACGTGGTGCGTTTCTCGTTGGTATTCATCTTTTCGGCGTTTACTAACATATTAGCAGGCCCTTTACCTCTCGATTCGGCATCACAGAAAGCCTTCCTGAGTATGAATATCACGCTTCCCTTTTTTGTAAAAGTCCTCGCCGGTGCCAGGTGGCAGTCGCCCGTCATTGGGAACGTCGAGTGTTGCATCCGTTCTTGGGATAGAACTGTGTTCTCCACCTTCCTTTGCCTCCACTCGCTCCATGGTCCCGTCACCATCCTCGCACGCAACTAATGTTTCATCACATCCATAACACCGGCTGGATGTCCTCAATACTCTCGTCAGCGACCACCACTTCCCGACGCTCAAATCCTCACACGTGTTCTGTCCTCGCGCAGTTCCGTCACCTCCATGTCCCGCACGGATAGTACGAGTCTTGAAGCACCTCGGACGGACGTGCTACTCCCAACCGACGAGCTTCATTGCCTCGTGTAATGGGATGTAAGGGCTGCACGAGGCGAGTCTCGAAGGTGTTGTCGATGCTTAAGAGGTTCGGAGTCGGGAAATCGGGTGCACCGTCTTTTCTGGCGAAAATAAGCATGTGATAGGTTCTGGTGCGTTTCTCGTCGGTATCCTTATTTTCGGCGTTTACTGACATTTTAACAGGATTCTCGTCTGTGGTACTGAACAAAGTCGTCGTTCCTCTGGGCGCAGATGTCGCTGGGAATGTAGGTGGAGTCGTGATCAAACCTCTTTTCCCCGTAACGATCCCCGGACCGTCCTTCCAAAGCGCAACTCATTACGTGACCAGGTCGATTCGGCCAGAACGTCATGCTGATGTCTCGCTCTTCTTCTCGATACTTACAGCCAATAAGCCGTTTGGCCCGGTCTTTCAAACTCAAGCGAAGGCATTCCGGCCGGCAATACCGACGTCGAGGTTTCCGAGGCACTGGTGGTGAACGAATCACTCATGATTCGCTCTTGCTGTATCCCCCTTTCCTGTTGAACGACATCCTCAATTGTCGTTCAGCTCGTCTCTCCTCCCTGTCGCTTTCTCGTCTCGTTTGGATGGGGCCTTCCGTTCAGCGACCAGTGCGACACCTTTATTTTGTGTGTTTACCCTGTCATTGGAGGCTGGGAAGGGATCGACGACTATATCTCAGTGGAGTGTTATGTCCATTTGGATCCAGCGGCTGCGCGAGCATTCATTAATCATTTCTGGCACCCACTCATTCCGTTGCAATTGGTGGTATAGTCCGTCCCGAGTCTCAGTCGTTGATTCAATGCGAACTGCAACAAGGTAGTGTGCTAGCCATTATTCTCTTTTCAACATGGCGGCACCAGCAGCACCAATGTCGACTTGGAGGTTTCCAGCGGGATTAAAAGGCGGAATCTGAATTGCCACAGCTGCAGCTTTATTGCGACGTCGCTTGTTGGTTGACAATGGTGAAGCCGTCGCCTATAATTCATATTCCCATCTTTCTCTCGCCACACTGGGCGTTTGGCCGTTGTCGTTCAACTCAATACGAGACAAGACGTCTCCCCTCCCTGTTGTCTTCTCATTTCGGTATGCGAAAGTCTTGCCCGAGCCTTGATTTCTGGCATGCACTCATTCCGATGCAATTGGTGGTATGGCCCGTCCCGAGTTGCTCGCAAATGCGGACTGCAAGAAGGTAGTGCGTTAGTCACTATCCTTTGTTCGAAGCCATGGCAGGTATCACATCTGGAATCGTTGCTCCCCGTCATGGCGAGCTTCTCGCGTCCACTATTACGAGCCACATCCCTTTGCTTCGATGCCCCGATTGACATTCTCCATACAAGCAACACCGGGGATCAGGTTCTTCCACGGCGTACCGGGCTGGGCTGGGTGTTACACTGAAGAGACACGGTCCCCGGAATCATATATGTGCCGCTCGCTCTCATGGATTACAAGGAACGCTGCAGCGTAAACCAATCGGCTCCTCCAGTCGCTTAGCGAAGCACAGAGCTTTCGATTTGAGCGAGATGGATGAGGGAGCGTGGATGTAAGTGTCTCTTGATGTTGTTTCCCTTGTCGGCGTTTACTGACCTTTTAGCAGGTCTTGTATGGTGCTGACGATGGCTATCAAAACCATGACGGGCTTCCTGTTTCTCTTCTCCGTGCTGTCTTCCGATTACCTCAAGGATCCTAGTCCCACGCGCAACGACCGGTGCCAGGCGCTGACGTTCAAACCCTCACCGAATGTCGAACCTTACATTTATTCGTTGTCTGGATGATGAAGCTTGAAGTCGCATCCTCGACTAACGAAGTTTCACTTCCTTATGGTCTTTCACGCGCCGTTCCTCCAACATCTGCCCGAGGAACAACCAGAGTTTCGTGTGGCTCGTATTGTTTGAATACCGTAATACAGGCTAGCCAGCGTAACGACAGGATTCGGCAAGACTTCCACGATGACGCCAGCGCCGTGCGTTCCTAGGCCAGATGATTGTTAACGTTTGAATCGTCGAAGATCAGCGTGGCGTCGCTGTGAGGTATAATCACATTTCTCCTTGGTGTTTAAGTAACTAACCCGGGTTTGGTAGTCATTCAACGTGTCGGCTAGTAGTGCCGTCGCCCGGGCCGAGGAGACTCCCAGCAGGATGTATGGGGAGGAATCATGTTGGTCATAGCGCCGGCTGCCGCCCTTATGGGCGATTTTTCATATAGTATTCCCGATCTACGGCAACTATCTCGAACTATGTTCGTCGATATGCGTGCATGTCTCCAACGCACGGCATATTCTTATGTATCGAATCACGCTGTGAAGGGCTACCAAAGTGCTATTGACTGCTGGTACCGAGCTAATCGTCCATACTTATGCTCTCTACCCCTCACCGTGCATTGTGTGCAGCAGTACAGGACGTATCCAGTCGTCACTTCTCCCTGTCGCTTGTTCATATCGTTTCTCGCCGCTCCGAGAAAATTCGACCCGACTACGTTTGTTTCGTGTGTTGATATCATCAGGTTTTCGACTGTGCCTTTGAAGGGGATCGATGCTGTGAGCGACTTGGGGATGTGGCGACCACACTTCAATGGAGTGTCTTTCGTCACTACGCCCATTCAGCGGTTCTTCAAAGAGTTGCACGAATTTTGGGTGTTCTAGTCTCGTGCGCCCGCGTGTTACTTCTCCCCAGATGTTTTGGCTGGAAACTGCCAGTGGCATAGTCAATCTTTCCGGCCGAGCCACATATCGGTTTTGGCATCCTCCATACGACAGCGCAGCGACCGGTTATCAGACCCATGCTTAAGCTTCCATGCTACCCAGGGTGGTATACACATTTATTTGCGCTGGGCGTTACGCTCAAGAGTCATTCGGCCAGATGTTCTCAGCCCGGATGAATTGTGGAAGATTAATGTGACATTGCGCTAGGTATAATCGCCCTTCCTCTCAGATAATAGTTGGCTAATGGTGTAGAATCCTTGATTAGCTTGTATTCTGGTATCTCCACCAACCCTACCAGGCACACCATGTTTGGCAAAACTGTTACGACCACAGTATTAGTCGCAGCATCTCCGAGTGGCGTCCGTGTCGGAAGGCCGTTTGTCATGCTACCTTCAGGAGACCATCGTATCACGAAAACGGCTGCATTGAACAGTGCCCCGCTGTGATGTTTAGAATAGTCCTCCCCTGACGAGTCGGTCGTCGTCTTGGAAGTTTCGATTACTTCCAGGGGTTATGAACAGATATTGGTAAGGGTCGGTGATGTACTAAGGGGATGGCTTGATCAAAGGCTTCTCAAAACCATGTACGTGCTTTTATATCGCCACCCGTTTGCATCAAACCGAAACTTTTCTATGCATAGATCCTGAACGCCTCCCGTTTGCTATGAACGAGACTCAAATCAAATTTCTTGGCTTGTGGAATTGACATCATCTTCGCATAAAAACTCCGCCATGTTCTCAGGACCTAACTTCGCGTACACGGCATTGCGACAAATGTTTGTTAGATTACGTGACCGCTCGGTGCTAAAGATCTGCGTATCAGGTCTGCTTTTCTTGCTGATTTATTTGCGTGTTCTCTTCATGACAAGACCCTAGGTGGAAAGCCTTTACAGGATATTCTCAATCTTTTCGAGGATTAGTCTAACTTCTGCCTGGCCGCATCTTTACCATTGATATGTTTCGCCACCAAGGTTCTTGGTTTTCCCATCTCAGCGCAGCTGATTGTATTAATGTCTCAGAATAGACAGTGATAAGGTCACGGGAGCGAGGTGATACGTGCATACTCCTGCTCCTTCCGATGCACCTGACTCCGAGAACAATTCTTTTCTCGTGCATGTGAATGGCGAACCTTCGAGCTTGGCGTCACATTTACTGTTCTCCGAGTCGCAAGCTGTGTGTCTTGGCGGTATTGGAGATTTTCTTTCTTTATTATTATATCATACCAGTTTGCGATGCTAATGATACTATTCGCAGTGAAAGATTTGGTCTCTCTTTGCCGAAAGCAAAAAGACTACATTCTGGTATTGGTGTATTCCTAGTGAGTCATGCTTTTCCTTTCGATCAGCATGGCTGAATTCCTTGTACAAGATTTCAAGAAATCTCGAATTTATCGAATTTAGCTGTCGTACTTCTGGAGCAGCGTCTAGTGTCCCTTCGCCTAAATGGCCTCTTCTTTCACTACGGCAGACACTTCTAGGTCAGGGGCGCCTGCTTTATTACGGTCTTGGCGCTCAATAATATGGTTGCCGCGAGTAAGATCTAAGCCAGCGTCCCTGCCCACGGCCTCGGGGAGAAATATCTCCTGCTTACATAGCTATGGTCACCGTCCTTGCGTACGACCGTGCCTCAATCCTGTGATGCACACACGTCTTTCTCATGCCGAGGCGCGCGCAGATATCCCTTTTCTGCGCATCTCCGATGATAGCATCATCAATGTTTATCGGAGGAAGCAAGCCAGGTGATTATCGTCCAGTATGTAAGTTGTACCTGAACAAGCTAACCTCAGAGACATTTTACTCAGATATGCTTGCGCTACAACATCATAGACTTACGGTCACTTGCTCCAGTGTCCGGTGGTAGACCATTTGCTTCGTCGCCAATTTTCCTTATATCCCGATGATGGCAGGACCTTGGCGTGCGGGCGAGCACCTGTGTAATAACGTTATGTTATATTTGCACCCTACCCCGAGTCGGCGAGGCTGAATCTTTGGTGCATCTTCCAAGGCTCCTTATTGCTGCTTATGCATTGGCAAGTGACCTGACACAACGACGAACGTTTGGTCTGCTCTATCTAGTACAAAATTTGCCTCCAGTTCGACGTCGACAGTACTAATAATAATCTGGCTATATATACCAACGGGCGAGGACCATCATGTCGAAAATCACGGCGATCCTTCAGCCCGTCACTTTCGGCCATCATTGGGACTGAATCGTCTGCGTTCTCGTTATGATCGGCGCATGCGCCCAACATGCACTAGCCATTTGTGCATGTGCATGCAACTTTCGAACGTTGGGCTGCAGCAGCCAAGGCTCTTCTATTGGACCAGAGTAATCTTGGCTTCTGAAATAAGCGGATGAACCTTGATCCTTTCAGCCTTGCCTACTGAATGGAATGGGTTCGCCATACGCGATGAGTGCGTTTCTTGAATGGCAGCATTTACTTCCTAGGGTCACTCACACGAGGATCGCTTGTCTTGGCGAATACACATAATTCGATTTCGGTGTTTTTGTCTTGAATACTACATTTCTGCCTAATCGACTACGGCGAGAATTTTTACTCGGGGTGCGTCACGGATTCCGCGTGTGAAAAAATTCCGCTGGTTTTAGTCATTGGAGCCCCCGTCATGCATTGATTATGCATAGAATTGGATGCGTCGAGTCAACGCCAAGTGCTCTCAGCCTCTCCAAGGCAGGGGAGGAATGGACGTTTGAACTAATCCATTGCGGCGAGACAACTTGACATTTCACTGTCTGGCAAAACGGCGCAACTCGACATTCGGGGTTATGGCTTGATATCTTGAGCTTCTTTCTCGGTTGGGTGGCCCGGCCCTATAGTGGCTGATTTACTGGTGCAAATGTAAACTTTTAGTGGTATGTTCCGTCTTCTAAATGAATCCGTTCCGACAAGGCGTTGCTCAACTATTGCTCCAGTGTCGGAGTAGTTAATTTCAGCCATGCAGTACACCGAGTTCTATTGGCTATGGGCAAATAATATCCCGGACCCGAGTGCTACATCAAATTTCCAACGGTTTCCCGAATCGGCAATGGTTTGACTGTTAGTGTCGACCGACGACCATCGACTGTTGGTGTCGTCTGAACTGATCATAGAAGAACATCCTCCTGTTGGTCGGCTAGAATACATGTCGAAAGGTATGAGTCATTTGCCCGAACCGTCCCTGACAATCTGATGGTCACATAGCGAAAACAGTAATGCATGTCCGACTCGGAGGATGTTGCCTGTTCTCTTCCTTGCCGACGGTTAGCATTTGTCTGAAGCATCCGACTCGGCAACCAAATGGATACATAAATCCGTGAAGTTCAGCCACATCCCCCAACAGCAATTTTCCCTCGCAGTTCATTCGCTCGTTCTCGATTCGCAGCCATGTCTATCCATCCCTCTGCTAGCTCCTCCACCATCAACATCAATGGCCGGTCTCACACCAGTGCAGAGAAGGAAAAGCAGCCTGCAGCCGCTCCTAGGCTGTTCTCAAACAACTTCACCGATAAGGAGCTCGCAGCCCAGCGGAAGGAGTACATCAAGAGTTTGGTCGTTGGGTGTTTTTCTATGGTTATATTGATGTTCGGCGTCTTCTCAATATACTGGGGAGCATTGTGGAAAGTACCTGATCACAAGCTGCCTGGATGGGTTGTGGTGCGTCCCCTTCAAACGACGCGTCTCTAGCGTGTATCTCACCCCTTTGATAGGATTTTGATGGATCTACAATCGGTGGTAACGTCACTAGTGCGCTCTTAGCAGATGTCTCCTCTACGGCGAGGATATCTTGGACACAACGGGCGGCGTCAGATTTTTCAGGCCCGGACGATGTCGGAGATCATGTGGTGGACCAACGAGCCTGGGTGGCTGTCGTCAGTGCGTTGTTCTACAATCCCATAATTATTTTCTCTGAATATCCTTTCGTAGTTCACGCCGGTGCTACTTCAACCCTCAATGCAGCCATATCCTCGCCCAATTCCTCGTATAACGGCTCTGCGGCTGTCACTGTGTACGCTGTGGAAGCACGGAATGAGAATGCATTGTGAGTGATGCTTCTGTAGACCCTTTGAATCTTCCTTCTCATCGCCGACAGCCGCTCGTTAATTCGTCCTTACATCATGACGACTATGGCAACCATATCTCAGAGCTTCGCCCAGTGGTTCGGAACTCAGGTCGCTGCATCCACATCATCTGAAGCCTTGGCTTCGATCCTCCAAACTGCGCCACAAATCATTACCGAGCCTATCAGCTACACGATCGACAACCTGCGGCCATTCAATGTTCCTGTGTAAGCGCTACGTATTGAATAAGTGTCTTGTCGCACCTAATTTTCTTTTTTCAGGGCGAGTGCTATCACCTTCGTTGGCCTTATCTATCTTTTAGTCCTCTGCTTCTTCATCGTGGTAAGCCCCATCCTCAGTACCGCACAAGATCAATTTTGACTCGTCCCTTCAGTTGATTGGCTCCGGCGCTCGTATGGCCTCCGGCATCGAAATGAAACTGACGACGAAATCACTCATCAAAGTCCGTCTGTACTCGACGATCGCTTTGTACTTCATGATCTCAATCTTCTACTCCACGTTGAGCAGAGCTTTCCAAGCAAACTTTGACACGAAGTGAGTGCCAACTAACGTGCTGTCGCAGTCAAACCCTGACCGGTATTCTCTCACAGGTTCGGTCGTGCAGGCTTCTTCATCTTCTGGATGCTCAACTTCGTTGGCATGCTTTCTGTCGGACTCGCGCTTGAGGCTATGATCACGCTCTTGACGCCGAGATTCATGCCTTTCTTCATGATCTCATGGATCATCAGTACGTTTTCTCACTCCCGTTTTTTCTATCAACGTCTGATCGTCCTCTACAGCCAACGTGTCTGTCTGCTTCATGCCCATCGAAGTTCTCCCGCACTTCTACCGCTACGGCTACGCGTTCCCCTTCTACAATGTCTCGGGCGCCGTCAGGACCATCCTTTTCGGAACTAAGAATCAACGTGAGTGACTCTCCACCCCTAAACCGGAATGCTGATTGATTATCTGTCTTTTAGTCGGACTTCATTTCGGCGTCCTTATCGCTTGGACTGTTATCTCTCTCATCACCCTTCCCCTGTTCCAATGGAATGCGAGACGCATGATGGCCAATGCCGCTGCTCGTGCCGCTGCTCCTCAGGCGGAAGAAAAGGGAAAGAATTGATTGGTTGGGTAGGTTAGAGAGCAACACCACAAGCACTGTAAATTATCATCGCATACAAGGCTCGTCTATACCAATTGCATGTACCTATCAAGATCTAGCTACGATAAAACATGAACATTTTAATGTAATATCTTGAGTGAAGAAGTCCGAGTGTTCGGCGGCAGCATAGAATTGGAAGGATCCTGCTCGAGCAAGGTTTTCGTCCACATCTTCGGCATTTGTTTGGATGTCCCAGGACTTGCTTATCTACTCCACATGCATTAGAGGTCGCCGATATAACTTACACCATTCAACACGTGTGTTGAGAATGGATTTGATATCAAAGGGTACAGGGAAGTTCAACAAACAAATTGACATAAAATAGGATTCCATTCCGCAAAAAAAGAGACTATAGCTAGTAATACAGTTCCGCCTAAGCAAAGAAAGAGAAAGAAAAAAGTCCCGAGAGAATGTCCATTAGGGATCCGAGAAAAGAGAAATGGGCCGGTGTAATGAAGCACCAAATCTACCTAAACTTGACGCCACAGATCGTGTGCTTGCATCATCAGACGTGCTTCCTCCAGGGGTGACTGGCCTTCGCATCGGCGCCAGCTCCATCGGGGCCTGAGGGATGGGAGAAAACCGATCGTCCTGCACTAGTATTGGTACGAAACCCGGAGGTAGTCGATTATCTGGTAATTCGATGGGTTCTGGAGGAATACCCGGTAATGGTCGATCTTCCGCTGTAAGAAGTCTTGGATTGAAGGTCGTATGATCACTCGGATTTGAAGGAGACTGGGACTGCGTTTGAAAGGTTAGGTACTTGTAAATAAATTTGTTTGAACGGAACCGTACCGGAGGCTGAACTTGGATATTGACGCCTGCGGGGCTCGAGTAAGATCTTTGAAAGCGTTTTCTCAGCCAGGCGAGGGGTGACTTTAATCGCTTTGGCGGAGACTGTGCGGGAGATTGGTCGCCTTCTCCTAGCGTGAGCTGGCTTCTGGGATCAGTCTGGTGATATAAACTAGATGCACGATATGAAGCCTCAGAAACAGGCGATACAAACTCCCAATCCATCGGACGAGACGGGGTCTAGAAATAAAGTTAACAGAGATCATCGATAGACGATCTTAACGTACGTCGTTCCCTCGATTAGTTGACGAGGAGATAATATCACGGTTCTGGCTTCGCCATTCATCCGCCATGCGTTCGGTCTGCTTTAGGCCCCGGAACCTGTCCGACTCTGACGCAGGCGGCCGTAACATAGCATACTGCGAAAGGGGTGTCGAGGCTCTGGAGTCCTCTCCGTGATCCTCGATGTGGGGGCTGAATTTGGAACTGTGTGTCAGTGCCGGAAAGGTATTATCCATCACGGCAGTCGATTGTTCGAGTTGTTCGAGGTATCGCTGCCTAGACTGAGAAGGGGAATCAAAAAGGGGGAGCGAGGATACCACTGAAGGAGAGTATGTTTGGGAGGGCATCGGACGAATAACTTCCGGTGATACAGGGACCGGACGAGGAGGAAAGTATGCGTCCGAATTCAAGCGCGATAAGCTTCTCGTATGAGAAGGTGCTAGAGATGGTTCTGCTGAGGGAAGCACCTCTGGACGTCGATCAGGGCGCGCGCGAGGTGTGGAATGGAAATCAGGAGGATCAGCAAATGACGAGGCAACGCTTCTGCTGGTCAATGAATATCGAAGAAGTGAATCTATATAGAAGGGGACGTACCGCATGACAGCGACCATCGGGTTGGGATAAACAGGAACCTTCAGTTTCTCTTCCAGATCTTCATAGTCTGCTAGTATGGAAACGGATAGACGTGACTTTGCGGTCCTGAACAAAGAGTCAGATATGTTGTGCCACACACATATATTTGGCTGGAAGACGTACCTGCCGCGGCTCGGGGGTATTGTTGGGACAGGAGCACTTCTATCCCTCTTCGAGTGTTTCCTAGACCGGATCTCCTGGAACGATCTAGCCATTCCAAAGCCTTCCTCGTACCCCTCCTGGTAACCTTGCTCCTTCGCTTCCTCCATCTTCCGTTCCATAAGAAGCCTTCTCGCAGTGGCCCTATCTTTGGCTGCTTGCACTTCTGCGTCGATCCGTTGGCGGTCCACATCTGCGATAATGCCCTCCGCGCGCTGGAGCTCCATCTTAGCATTTTGCAGCTGCAGCTTATGAGCCGACAAGGAAGCCGTCGCCTCGACAAGCTGGGTCCTCAGAGCTGCAAAACGTCGCTCAAAGGCGTCGAGAATCTGGACATCGCGACGAAGGTTGTCGGTAGCGGTCCGCCCGAAGCCATGTATGAGATCAATTTCGGAATGCGAAGCTGGGACTGCGCGATGGTGGCGTTGTCGCGGGAGGCTTTTGTGGCGTCTTTTACTGTGGCTTTGCGGTGCTGTTGCTGGACGGTCGAGCCTAGGAGCGGATGACGACGGAGCGGATGACGAGGAGTCTGCTTCTTCCGGGATCTCTGGGGGGTATTGGAGCCTACTGGAATCTATTCAACCCGTAAATTCATAGAATAAAAGGAACTGAAATACGTGACGTCCGGACTATCCATCGTATACAGTCTATGTATCGATAGCGTCCACCAAATGGAAGGAAGTAAAGAGAATCCTGAGGTAAGTTAGGGACGGCGATATGATGGGGGTTTGCGGCAAGTTATGCCTGCCTCGTGTTCACATCACTCCGCGCCAACACGCGGCATGATATAATCGCCGAAGACGCCAACCTTTCGTCTGGAAAGCAGAAAGAGAAACCAGACGTTGCATGAAAGAGACGTGTGTTGCATCTCCTTACAAGGCGTCTAACACGTGTTGGTGGCGTGCTTGCTGTGAGGTACCCCTCCTCACGAGCTGAAAATCCTCTCAGCGGATGTCGGATGTGAGAGATATGGCAATGAACGTACCTGAGAAGATCTGATGTTTTGTCCAGGAGGACGGGAAAGGGTCTTTGGACTAGCAAGCTGCTACGCCACAAGAACGGGAGCCTTTCTTTAAGAACATTCGACCATTAAGAGAGGTAAAATATGTCGTTGAGCCCAGTGTCATGAAAAACACGAGGAGAAGGTAAGGACAGTCTCCGCAGATTATGGCGACAGGGTACACTGGTGTTCAAAGCGTGTTAACCGGAATGGCCTTCAAGTTTCCTGTATCAAAAAGGGGAATGCTAGGATAATATGAGTTCACTTTTTCACATAGGAGAGCAGCAGAAAGAAAACTCGCACAGCATTTGCGACGCTGATCCGTTCACGTTCTTCTTTCCAGTGGAAACGAAAGTAAAGCGGCTTTCGCCGATCGGTCAAGCAGTGACGCGTCATATGTTCCCATCACATGACGTACACGCGGTAGGACACGTACAAATTGACATTAATGTGCGCACCCATTATGGCGGCACACATGCAATTTGCATAAACACTTCTATTATTTGAGTAATCGTTTCTCACTTGAAGCACTACTCCTCGAGTCTCGACTTGTGAATTCCCGTACGCAATGCTCATTGCAATTATCTCCTAGCCCAAATCGGGCAGGAGTTTTGTTTCTTTCCCTCGAAGAATTGATATTTACATAAAGCCTCATAGGCTCATTTCTGCTAATACTATTCGTTTCAGTTAATGTTATCGCACCACAAGGTAAACACGTACCAACTGAGCAGTCCCTCTGCTAAGATGGATTTGTCTTGAATCCGTCTCAACAGTGTTGTTTCCAAGCAGTGAGCGCCACCGACAGGCTCTATCCTCTCCCATACGACAGCTACCTGCAGATATCTTGCGAGAGATATTTCTTCTGGTGTCTTCAAATGCCGCAGATGTTACCCAGTTTCCGTGGACTGCCGCTCATATCTGTGCGGAATGGAGAACCATCGCTATGCACACACCAATTCTCTGGTCCAAGATTCACGTCATTACAACCCTACCATCCAGAGTACTACCCTGTGATATGGGTGAAATGGCCAAACTTGAATGCCTGCCCTCGAAGGAAATTGTATGTCGTGCGCTTGATTTATCCAGAGAAGTTCCGCTCGTGATCTCTTTCTGCATCAAGGAACAACTTCCGAGGAAGTTCCAGATGCTCGAGTTGCTTATGGATCACGCACCTCGATGGAAGGTGGCTTACCTGTCAAGTGGCCAAGAGGATGTGTCCCTCGGCAACGGGCTCCACCGCCTGAGAGGGCGTATTCTAAACCTGGAATGTCTTTCGATCGATGTCGGCACGTTTCCTATGGAATTCCCATTCCTCAAAAAAAATTTTAGTATTACCTCACGGTTATTCAAGCTCGCCATCCGTAATAATTATGACGAGGAAGTAGTATTTCCGTGGCAGCAAATCAAGAGGCTCGTTTTCAATGGATTTCATGACCTACCATACATTCTTCGCGCTCTTCGCTCCGCGCAAAATGTTGAGCATCTCACCTTCAGTCCAAATGCATTGAGGGCCTTGGATTTGAATGCCGTTCCTATCGCTCTCCCTACCATTCGCTGCCTTGACATCGATTATGACCAAATAAACCCACCGTCTCTGCTTTCTCGCATAATTCTTCCCGGGCTGCAGAAACTATTCATAGATCATGATGGCCTTGTCGAGCAGGGAAATCTAATCTCGCTGGATTTCATGACTAAGGTGGGCCGGTTCCTGATAAGTTCAGGCTGCGCCTTAACGCACACTCCTGGCAGGTGACTAACTAGCCCTGGTCAAAATGCAAGGGAAACAATTAAAACGTAGATAACATTTTGACCCAAGCTTTTGATCACAGCAAAATGCGTCGGCTTTACCATCAAAAGGAATCCCGACTCATTTCGCTATGACCAAAAGCCTTGATCAGAATTTGATCTGTTGTTCACCCATTTTCCCAGAATTTTGTCCCATTTGAAACAGTCGCTTACCAGGAGTGGCATGCAACGTTTGTGCCGTTGGTGCAATTTGGACCCGCTTTCAAAGACGTGATCGCTCTGTGGCCTACCCTGATGTACCTCGATGTTGGCTTTGTTCCACCGATAGAAAACATTGACCTAGTGTTTTCGTTCATGATTCAGCGAATCGTGATTCCTGCACTGCGGAGCTTGAGGATCACTTTTAGGGTCTGCAACATTTGGGAGGGTAGCCCACGTATCGGAGAACAACTCGTCGAGGTGGCTATGATGCGGAGGAATAGCTTACGAGTCTTCGAGGCTTCAGTTTATGTGGAAAAAAGCCAGGGTGGTACGGCCATCCTCAGTAGTGCGGATAAAGCTTCTCTGGAAGCACTGAAGGCAAATGGCATGTCGATTAAAGTCAGGTAAACTACGATAGCTTTCGCATTTATTTAGATATTAATGCCTCTTTCTTCCAGCGTGACTGTAGAGATAACTAGATGGCAGCAGTCCCTGGAATTTATATGGACATAGAGCGTTCTGCATTAAATGGACACACACATGGCTGGTATTGGAACCACATCGTTTCATTGTGCCCGTCGTTTTTCAAAAGACAGAATTTTCGTAGTCGTACGAGTACTGTTCCCAATAAATTATTTGCCATTGACACGGCAGTATAAATCTCGCGGAGAGACTCCATTGATGGTGTGGAAAAAGCAATTTGCGACTCTGTCTCCGGTAATGAGTTCAAGATACGAGCAAGTGTTCGCTCCAACCGCATTCCTGATGGATCGTCGGAAGAATATGGGTTACGGGAGCAAGTCCTTCCGTTGGTCCTTACCAATTTACCATTTCATTTTCCCGCTTTGGTAAATATATTGTTATCTGCATCGCTTGATCGCCGTGAAGCCCTGAACGCAACAGTTTATAAACTTTGGGCGTTCGTTCAAGTCTATATTTTTCTCACCCTGGCAGTGCTTTGTTGAGTACCTGCCGGTGTCTCGACGTAGCTCATACCCCCGGGAGTAATCGGAACCTCCACGACGACCAACTCGTCAGGGGAGGATCATTTACTACAGATGGAAAGCGGAGGAATAGGTTGCAACCAAACATAGCGGCCACAGATCCGACGAATAAGGTGGAGGATCAATCAACGATGCCGCAACCAATATTGCAGTCGAGTTGTAGTCGTGACAATTTTGCCAGGCAAGTTGTTCTCGACAGCAGCAGCAGCGAAGGAATTCCCGGTTCAAGCTGGGAAAAGGTTCTACACCAGCCGAGTGTTAGTTGATTACATAAGACGCACTGGCGGCTGGTTTATGGCTATTTCGGCGATCTCGGTGGCCCTTTTGCGCGCTTGAAGTCCCCAAAACACAGTCTATGACGAAGTCCGAGCCTTCTTCCATCATCCACGAAAACGCCCCTGACTGTCAAGCTGTATACAAATGGCTGTAATTTAGCATGCATTCCCCAGAAATAAATATAGGCCTGCAGTCCGCATAGAACAATTTTGAGGGCAAGCTATTACTTCCGGCCTTTCCGCTTCCTCCCTTCCGTGCCGCTAGTCTCCTCACAGCTCAGCTCATCACCACTAGCTGGCCCACCCTTCTTGGCCTTGTTTTTTCGTAAGTGGTGCTCCAGGATCCATTCTTCCTGATAGCCTCCAGCATCCATAGCAGTCACAGAACCTACGGGTGCGCTAACGGAAGCAGCCGTGCATCTGGACTTCTTGGATTGGGGGACCAATGAGAGGTACGCAACGTACGCAATACCACCGAAAATGAGAGACACCACAAGGTACGTTGTCAATCTGGACTGATTATGAGAAGCGCAGGTATTAGCATGTGTTTGATTTAACGTACAGCTTGAAGTCAAAGATTGAGATCTTGGGCTCCACAACAGTAACGATAGAATCGTAAGCGGAGACCAAGTACTTCTTGTCCTACATAGATTTTAGTAGAACATGTGGCATTATTAAGGTGATGCTCACTGCGAACGAATGTTCCACACGTTTACTTTCAACAGCGATATTTTCAATCTCATGATGCATGTGTGTAATACTACTCCACAACCTTGCCCTTTTCAAGCAGAGTGCCCTTTCCTCTTCAACAATTCCCGAGAGGTTTCTTCTACATGACACCGCTAGTATCAGGAAGCCAAAACGCCTAGCGCCAAGTCAGAAAGACGAACCAGCTCAGCGCCTGCAGAACACATCATTGCGAACCGCGGATTGAATTTCACGCATCTGGATGGACCTGCATGGCCTTCCAGAGGCCCCAGCAGTTGAAGCCGCACAGATGCTGCTCTCAAATCTACCGGACCGCTCTTTTTGGGAAGGATTTTGTACATCCCAGACGTGAACTTTACCGTCCAAACTGCCACTAACAATATAACGACTATCCGGCGTCCAGCTAACTTCCTCACCACTTCCGCCCTTTGCAGGTTCAATAGTAGGGGGCACTGCTGTTGACCGTCCTTCGAGCCCTATATGCCCTTGGAGCTTGGCCAATAGATGTCCTTCAAAGGCATCTAGAATATAATGTGCATCACCTGAACAACCGACGAGAATGTATTTCCCATTTGAAGAAAAGGACAAAGAAGTCATGAAGATGGGTCGAGGAGGATAGCTGACGAAAGACACAGTTGGATCTTCCATAGTTATGACGAGAAATGGCGCTTTGTCGTAGTTAGCATGGTCGTACAACAGTATTCTGGAATAATGATTGACAGCCACGGCGAAGACCATACCGGTGGAATCATAAGTAACGATGGGTGTTGAAGGAAGTGAAAGTAGACCTCGACAATTGGGACTGCAAGATCCCAAAGATGAACAGTTTTGTCCATAGATCCCGACATGAATCCATCGTCTACAAGAGACATCCCCAGAGAGATGACGCGGCCCTTGTGCCCCTTGAAATATTGAAGGTATTTGTTGTCGTGCAGCGAATGGTATCTGACGGTGTCATCTTCCTTGGTGGACACATGTATTATTGCGGTGTTTTTATGGGTGAAACGCAGGAGATCTACTCCATACTTCTTGGAAAAGAGCGTCTTTAGAGGCCTGGCATCTCTACGTGAGCGGAGAGTCGGACTTGAGCGAACAAAGAAAACTCACTTGCCGCTTTTGCAATTGTACAGCCTAAACGTTTCGCCTTCTGCCGCTGTAATTTCCTGGTCCCCTCTATCATCAAAGCATATCCCTGTTATATGCCGTGGACCTTGGTTGCCAGGACGAGGCGGAAAGCTAGGCGACGGTTGTGGCAGGCTATCGACGGCGCCTTTGTAGATCCTGGCCGGCTTCAATTTGGTCTGTACGCGTAGTTTTGTGTAAGATTCGAGAAAATATCACGCCATTAGAGTTTGTTCACCATGAGATTATTCCTAAGGGAAAGCGGGGGATCCGGCGGGGCATCTCCAAACCGAATGGGAAACGTCTCGGTCATCAGATCTACAGTGTTCATTTTCTCATGACCAAGTCGCCTGCAACCTCGCGATTCATGGCCAATGGCTCTTTGGTAAATGGCAGTACTTTCGGACCGTTATAGGCATAACATTAGACTGACATCATGAAGTTCCCCTCAGATATAGGCAATGACATTTACCTATGCTCTCGACGATCGGATTGTCCAGTTTGTCCCCGAGTCTTCTTGTTCTTAGATCCGGTACTTCGAAGCTGCCCGTACCGCCTAAGCATAATATGCGTAACAATCACAACTTGCGGTCCGGTCTCAAGCACCGATCATTATCAAAGTTCGGTTCGTTCCTCGTGGCTCGGTATTGCTTTTCTCTATGCATTACAACTAGGATATGGGCCGTATATTCTAGGGTCAGTGGCATGTGTAGTTCTATTTTGGTCCATCTACGGTTTTACTTGTCCCGTACGTAAGGGAGCGGGTATCCACCGGAATGTACCAGCCTAGCGCAACGTGCATTCGCTCGCACCAAGGCCCCTTAGGCCTCTTGCAATCCATCTCCTGATTCCGCCGATGCCCGGTGGTGGGTCGAATATCTTTGTGAACCAGTGCAGCAGGTGGGTTCTTTGTCGAACTATCGAGACCAAACTAAGATGTTTGTTGCATTCCAGGAGGATCTCTGCATACATATCTGGTCAAGATATATGCTAGTACCCCTTTGTCCACAACCATCACCACATTGAGAGTTTGAGCGTGGTTTCATTGATCGCATTCTGTAGATGCTCACGGAGAAAGATGCCGTGCGAGATTGCATAACCTAATCAGAAAGTTGTAATTTTCTTTGGAAACCGTTACCTTGGATTAGAATTGCTCAACATGGCGATTCATGTCTTGGTTGTCGATCTAACGTTGCAGGCCGTGTCGTTCATTGAAGACATGTTGGCGGCCTTCGTCGTCTAGATAAAAATTTCTGCATCGAGGCAGGTGAGCATCAGTACTTTGTCAAAAGATTCTGTCTCAGACGTTGTGGGATCGCTCCGTCCAGGACTGTTGAGTGCATGCAACTACTATGATTGGTTAATCCTAGTAGATAATTTACCTCCATGTAGAGCATGCACCGTTACGCGCCCTACTGTGCTACGCGATTAGGTTAGGTTCGAGACCTTCGTTTTTCTATAAAATGCTGCCTTCTGGAACCGTGGTCGATATTGGTCCTTCCAAACACCCCCTTCCTCTAACCACCATGTACTCCACCAAACAATTCTATCTTCCCGACCTGCTTGCTCTAAGCCCTTTGAAGGGCGCAACCAACCCTCATTACATTAAAGCCGGTGCTGAATCCTCTCGGTGGATCAATAGCTATAACGTCTTCACAGACCGGAAGCGCGCCTTTTTCGTGCAAGGTTGCAATGAGCTTCTCGTGTCACATACCTATCCATATGCTTGTTATGAACAGTTCAGAACCTGCTGCGATTTCGTGAGTATTTAGTCTAGTTTCAACAGTTATGCACGCACTGATGTCAATATTGCAAGGTTAACCTGCTCTTCGTTGTCGATGAAGTGAGCGATGACCAGAACGGTCATGATGCTCGCGAAACTGGTGAAATATTCCTCAAGACGATGAAGTACGGGAAACGCAGCGACGACGCGGTCCTGTCCAAGATAACGCACGAGTCAGTCTAGATTTCAATTGGAACCGCACGTACGATCTGACCAAAGTGACAGTTTCCGGGAACGGTACATGCGTTTAGCAGGTCCTAACACCGCACGAAGATTCCTGCAACATTGCCAAGATTATATTAACTGCGTGTCAAGGGAAGCTGAGCTCCGCGAGCAGGGTGAAGTTTTGGACATCAATTCATTCACCGACTTGCGTCGAGAAAACAGTGCTATTCGCCTCTGCTTTGGACTTTTTGAATATGTCCTCGGCATCGATCTACCTCAAGATGTATTCGATGACCCGACATTTATGGAGGTCTATTGGGCCGCGGCGGATCTCGTCTGTTGGGCCAACGTGAGTAATACGTTACTCCGACGTGTGATAGCAACTTATCGTATTTCAAGGATGTGTATTCCTACAACATGGAGCAGTGCAAGGGCCATAGCGGGAACAACATCGTGACAGTACTCATGAAAGAGAAGCATATCGACCTACAACCAGCTGCTGACTACATTGGTCAATACTTCAAGGTCTTAATGGATCGTTTCATGACGAAGAAAGCGGAAATTCCCTCTTGGGGACCTAAGGTGGACGCGGACGTCGCTCTATATGTCGAGGCAATGGGCCACTGGATCCAAGGAAATCTCGAGTGAGTGGTTCTTCGGTTCACGGTAATCAGATTATTGACGTCCGACTTTCTTCCTGCAGCTGGAGTTTTGAAACTCAGCGATATTTTGGTGCCGAACATTTGCGAATCAAAGAGACCCTGCTTGTCACTCTGCGCCCTAAGGAGTCCCCATTAGATTCGGACTCTGATAGTGATTATTAAGACCACTACGCCCTCCGAATCCGATACGGACCCATACAAAAGTTTTCGGCTCTTACATTCACGTGGCATTGTCCATTGAAGAAGCCGGCATGGCGGCGGAGGACTTAGTATATTCTTACATTATGTTATGATAGCGTCTTTATGTAGTACCAGCACGCATTCGATAAATAATACGCGTTTTCGGACCTTATGACTGCTTTCCATTCCATCACTCCGAGCATAACTGCCCAGTGATAGATTGTTTGTGAATGACGGCGATAAATTTGATCAACATCCATGGCTCGCTAGCGGCTAATTAGTATTGAAAACTTCGAACTACCGGCCAGTTACCAACACTCTAATCCCAGGCTAAATCATATTACAGGACGGGGAGAAAGAAGTGCCTGAGGACAGGGCTGAAGCCCCCGTGAGCGGCTAAAAAATGGAGATTCTAATAGAGAAGCTGCAACTAGAGCTTGCATATCGGCTCTAGTTGTGTGTGCTTTATTATTATTTCACGTACCGAAGCTCCCACGTTGACGGTACCTGCCTTGACTATTGAGTTTCAAGACGCCAAATTGCAAAGGTCCCTCCAAGGAGCATAAGATAATTATTAGTGATGATCTTAGCAAGCTCGCACTCCTAAGTTGTAGGAACCGCTAACATCGTACCTGCACAATACATCGGGCACGGTAAGTCGAAAACTCCCTGCCGTGTATGATGCACTTGTCTACAACAGGATTGCAGCTGTTTGCATACAGCGTGACAGTAGCATGTGTTTTGCACGAGAAGACAGTAATTTGGACTTGCTCATAAACCATGGTTTACGGACTTGAAGACACGTTTATGGCTATTTCTGCGATCTCGGAGGCCCTTTGTGCGCTCGAAGTCCCCAAAACACGGTTTATGACGAAAGTCCGAACCTTCTTCCATCATCCACGAAAACGCCCCTGACTGTCAAGCTGTATGCAAACAGCTGTAAGCACAGAGAGGAGATGCAACTATACCTAGCGGAATGGCACACCGGTCTTCCCGGTTTATCCGCCTGGTACGGGCTGAGGCGATCACGCATATGAATGTCTCTGGAACGTAGCGCCTAACGCGTATACCATTCTAGTAGAATGCAAACTCGAGATTGAGTCCGATAACCGGTGCTGCGCTGGCTTTTGTTCATGTAAAGGATGCCAAGGTCGATATGTGGCTCAATCGAGGGTTCAAACGCTCCACCTGAGACTTGGAACATCGAGCCGTCCGAAGATAACCCAAGCAAAGGGATATGACCCCCGTACGTGAGAAACTTGCGGTGAGGAAGCGTAGTTCCTCAGCGCCTGATGTAATACCTGTTAATAGGTCAACAGACATCAAAAATATGATAAGGAAGGAAGCGCTACCCTGCCAGTTCACGGGTGCTAGTGCGTAAGCACATCCAAATTTTCCAAGATGGTTGACTTGGGATGGACTATACTGCCAATGGCAAGTTGAGACGGGCGGATTCTAGCAATCGTAAGACTCCCAGGCTCGCAAAGGACATTGGCATAGCCTTGAAATCGATGGACATATTGAAGAAAAGTGCTTCGTTAGGGTATGTCGTCCGGGCACGCGGTCACGAGTAGCGTCGTGATTATCGCCGCCCGCATTGTCGATCCTTCTGGGTCTGCAAGGACGTGCATGACTAAGGACCGGGTGGAAGAGGCGCACAAAAATGAAGGCGGCCCAGTGAGATATTCTTTGACTCGCACCGATCAGTAGATAGGCCATCCCAGCCAGATGGAACGAGAGGGCGAAAGAAGGGGAAGCATCTCGTATTGAGCTGAGCGACAAGTGAGCTGGCAGTTTGGGCAGACGCAGAAGGTGACAAGTAGAAGAGAGGAATGAGCGCGAAGCTTATGGCCATAGCGAACTACCGGTGACTTGTTCTGTCAACCAACAGCGACGTCCTTTTGATGCTGGCGACGACGATTCCACACTTTAAGCCCGCTGGAAACCTCGACTACGTTGGCAACGAGATTGTTAGCCGAAGGACAAGGCTGAACAATGGTCCTGGACTAGTCGTATTAGTGATGTACATAAGCATCAAGAAGGAAAGCTACTCTACCTCATCCTGCCGCGACGCCACGCTGATCTTCTCGAGTTCGTCTGCCTGGCTTCCGAAGGCATAGCGCTGACGTCATCATGAAGGCCTGGGCGAATCGTCCTATTGAGTTTTCCGGGGTCTCCGCGACCATTGGAGACCTGGCTCATCCAACGAGTTGCAAACAGTGCGTGCTAGGCAATCTTTGAGGGCAATGAGGACGCTATTCCCAAGGCCTACAGAACGTATGAGGAGGGTGACGCGGTTTCTGCACATTGCGGAGGAATTGAAGGCTGGTTCTGGGCTGGCTGGTCGAGGATACGACTCCATCCTAAGAACGAATGCAAGGCTCGACGTTTTCAGTGATGCTTCGAATGTCAATAGCGGGTACTCTCTGGGACCCGTACGAAGAGGCTGCTGGACTCTTGAAATCATCGGAAGATGACGCAGAGAAGAGAAGTATTGTGTTCAGGAAGCTTGCTGTGGTGAGGAGTGACGGAGTTGTGATCCTCAGTGCCAGTGACAAGAATCGAGAGATGCAGGACCTGATAAAATGTTAGAAAGCACTGAAAAGAGGATAAACACGATCGCACCAGAACCTGAGGCCTGAATATTTCAGCCAGCAGTGAGCTATATGTGCCTAGCATTCCGGCTCTGTACGTGCATGGGGCGCTTGTTTTCACAGGGAAAGAAGCGAGCTAAATTTCCGTAAGCCTGGCTATATGTGCTCCACCCTGCTAGTCCCAGCTGCTCGAGGAGATGAGGCGCCTATGAATCCGGATTTAACCAACCGCATCCAAAAACGTCAAAAGGCTGTCGCTCGGAGGAAGAAAATTTCTCTTGGATGAACCAGATCCTGTAGCCATCAGTGTGCGTGTACTGGACATTGATGAGGCAGTGGATGTCAAAGAACAGGTCGCATTCATGCTCGTTGAAGCGAAATTTGAGATTCGCCACTGGCCAGGTGAGGGGTTCCACCGAAGAAAGGTTGCCGGAGCATTTGGATGCGATACAATACGTTAGGCTTCCAGTAAAGCGTTGGTGCTATTCGAGAGCTAGTCAACGGTTTAGCGTCAAGTCAGGGAGGTGAGCAGTACGGAGACGTACCTGTCGCAGTCTCGCAGAAGGCTTTCAGCTTCGGTCAAATTGGAAAAGTGGGCGTCGGCTCCTGATAGTTGCAAACGATTCACCCCTGCGAAGTCATGGGTTAGTGCCAGAAAGCAGAAGCGAATTGGCATAGCCACACACCATAAGTCAAGTATCCACTGAAGGTTCAGCATCTTCGCAGAGATCGTGAGCTCTCTCCTGTCATCGTGCCTGGTTTCGATTTGTCGTGCCGCTAATCGCTCTCCCGGTATACTCGTGAGGCTCGTAGACACCGCCATTGTCATTCGAGTCGGTTCGACTGCCTCTGGACTTAGGGTATGGGCCAGTGGAGCAGAAAACAGATGAGGGTGAAGGATTCAGGAGGGAGCGAAGAAGGGAGAAAACCGATCAAGTTCACAGTAGACGCGTTGTGGTGGTAAAAGGCGGAAAGGATTCGAGGCATTTGTGCTTGTTTGGTATCACGGCTGGGTTTGACCCGGCTTTCTCTTTCTAACCAACAACCAACTAGGTACGTCGTCTGTTCCGAACTACGTCCTTTGATACTTATTTCTCTTTACCAGATAGACTAATTTTGGTATTGATTTTTCTGCTGCTCTCTTTATGTGCATGTTCGGACGGACGACGCGAGACTCAAAGACGTGTAATACTAAGAGCCTGATTGCCATCTGCAAGAGAATCAATCCTACGCCCATCGGGCTGCCAACTGTTCACCTGGTATTTGTACGACTTGCTAGTCCACCGCGACTATATGCAGTGGAGATATCCTTTGCGTTGGTCCGATACCGCAGATGGCACTGGCTTCCATTGCCAGACTCGAATTTCTTGAAAATGGTGCGACGTCCTTTCCATCCATAGAAATCTCTCAGCTAACATGATTTCGGAACACAGGAAGTCAGTAATGTTCCGTTGGCACTAATGAAAAAGAACTCGATCAACGTATATCGCTGCGGTTAGGCGCTAACTTGCTAACTCCACCTCTTGCCAAGGAAAGCGAATGCGTTTTATATCGAGAACTCTAGTCACGCTGCGCACCGAGCGAACACGTAGGGAGGAAGGTACGACACCTTCGAATGTGCATGTCTCAGTTTCTAACATCCGAGCATGACAGCAAGGGGAAGCTACACCGAGAAGGCTCTCTATTTGTTTGCAAGGCAACAATACTCCGTTAGATCTAATGCGAAGACCACTTCTCAAGCGCCCGCCCTCGTCACCAATGACTCCCTATATCACCGTCCAGACCATCAACGTTTGAAGAGTCGACGTATTACTTCGTGCATGGTTAATATCACTATTGATACATCATCGCCTGCGTTCGACTGTGGTTCGATTACGATTGGATTACACATCTAGAGCGATATAACAAGGTACGTGGCTTAGGCCTTTCTTTTCGCTCTACCCTCACCTTTCGATACAGAAACGCTACCTCAAGAGCAAAAAACCATTGGGAACCAACGCTTTATGCATTCTCGGGCTCCTTTCATGAGGCATTGCAGATTCTACGAGCTCTGGTTCATCTTGCGCGCCCACAGAAGAGATAGAAGAGTGGCGCTCTGTGGACGCCTAAGTATGTCGCCTGCTTCTTCCGCATACGTATTTTCTAACACATTTTATGCAGATTTTCCGCACATCGGGACAACGTACTGGTTTCTTGACTCTGGGGCGGCATTGAAGAATCGACTACGCAGAAGATGGTGGGCGGACATTAGCATTAACATCGCATCCCAGCTGACGTGAATTTGATAGTAATCAACCGACCCTGAATCTGGCAGTGAAGAAACTCACCAGCCATGGCTAGGTTTTCGCCTGCACATACAACAGGGTTCCTTATGTCTCAAGGTACCCTGCCGCATCAAACGCAGAGGAAACAAAACGTAACACCCTTGAAAAAGGTGCAGCTATTGCGCAGATATATCGCTCCCTCAAGCCATCATAACCAAGCGCAGGAAAGGACCTGTATCACAGTGATAATGGTGTCTACTGCGATCGGGATACCGCAAAGGCCGGAGCCATTGCCCAGGGGGATTTCATAAGGGTTCATTCGTTTGTCCGCGACCGGGAAACCGTGGCGTCCTACCCATCGACATAGAAACCAGTATCTCGCATGGTATGCGGACGTTATCCAGGGCCTAGGGCTGTCCATTTTAGCATGCCAAGGTAGCTTTCTCATTCTTTGAGTTCTTCGTTTTCTGACGCGTCTTCAGCATCATGACAGTCTAAGCACTACCATTCGCGTAAGCGACCGATATGCAATGCGGCATCCACGGCATCCTGCTCGTTTTACTGAAAAAGATAGCATCGCACGACTAGCTTCAACATCGCACACGGAGGCAGTCTCGTACGTATCAGTTTGTGCTCAAATCCTCCGTACATGATGCGACAACGATAGTGATGCGCGGACATCACAAGCCAGGACGAACAGGAATCGATGGTGCGAACGACTGGCATGCATATTATCACTTCACTCCGCAACGCAACGCATCTTCACGTCAGGAAAAGTTGCTAAAAGATTGTGTCATTGCAAAGGCAGCGAAGCCGACTGATGTTTCGTCCATCGCTCGGAATGCTGAAGCCAAAGAGGGAATTTAACAGAGGCAAACGAGGTATGGAGAGTTTCCATTCATATGCTTGGCTCACTAGCGCATTTTGGGTGTTAACTCAGGCCTTATGTCGAGCAAGTACCTTATTGGTGTCATGTCGTACGGCATCACCCCCTCGGGACCTCAGATTCCCCCTCTCAACAGATCGCCTCCCTGCTGGAGCCTACGGATGGTTTTCCCTGGTTAACGCGTCTTATACTTCTCGTATATTCACATACTAATTTATGTGTTTTAATTCCAGACGGAGGCTCGGGTGTGCCGTCGTTGAGAGTTCTCCAGGATATGTGGTCTTTCAGCGCCATGCAACGTGAGGATATCGAAAGTGGGATCATTCACCCAGGTCTCGGAGATCCTCGCAGATTGGTAAGGGATGCTGCGCACGATCCTTCTGTTTCACCACTAATGGCCTTCCTCTGCAGTTCGATATACCTCCCCCGATTCAAGAGCAAGTCTTGCAGCACGATGGAAACCAATGTCTTTTCACCGGAGACTTACCTCAAGGGATGGCTGGCGTATGCTGGATGGTCCCTCCCTGTTTCTCGGTGACCTGGCGCTATTCAAGACCTGATGTGCGAGCTCGGTGTTGGAGGGGAGGATGACGACGAGATGGTTCCCCTGTCAGATCCGCGGTGGAAGACCGTGATTGGTCAAGCGATCTTGGAGGAGGCGATGCGAGATAGACTGGCGGCTGCTCATGACGATTAGCCTGTCCAATTTCGAGCCGTACAGTTGTTGTTTTTCCTTTCCAGAAAGAACCTTTACCTCGGAAATATCAAAGGAGTGACCGACGTTCCATTCGAATATCTGGTACACTATAATGACACGTGTGGTAGTATATCAATGCGCTTTCGAGAGTCGGCTTTTGTGAGGAAACTTGAGTGATAGCAACGACAGCAATTTACAGAACAATACAAGAGAGCGGCAGGAGAGCGGGAGAATTTTTCAACCTGCGCTGTACAAAGTCACGACGACCTCCAATCAGTACAATCTCGTCCAGGTGCAGTAACTCACGTCGGTTATGCATGATTCAAATAATGTCATAGCTGCACACGCGCTCGACGACACGTATGGCTACGGCAAAGACCTGGGAGAAAGTGACGACTGAAATTTTAGTGGAGCGGTCTCTATTAAAGATACGTATATGGAACGCACAACAAGCAGGCCCAGTACCACTTTCCAGCATCCACAGCGACATTTTTCATCTGTCCTCGCCACTGGTTTGAGAAACTTGTTGTGAATCTAGTCACCCAAAAATCGAATGGCCTTGAACATTATTGTCCTCCTCGCATACGGCGGAATTGCACTTGCCTCTTCCTTCGAAGATGAGAGGTGACACAGTATTTCGGGGCTAGGAAAATAGGTGAGCTAAGTGAATAAATCAACAGAAGCGAATTCAAAAGCCGCACAGAAAGATGCCTCAAGATAGATTCTTCACTGAGACCAGGCCGAGGGTATGGATGGTAGTGCCTGCTTGTGGTTTCATACCTGGGAGCTTTAAGAATGAGCTCGGAGTGAACATTGTATGGAGGTGGTGGCGATCGTTGCGGATAGCTCATATTTGTGGTGAGAGGCAGTGAATCAGGCTTCCGTCGCCTTTAAATATGGGGAGAACTAAGTTTTTTTCTTCAGTGTGAGAATTTCGAAAGCATGCGCAAACAATCCGTCCGGAAATCGGTAGTACACACATTGACAGCTTATGAAATATCGACATTTTATAAGATTTACCTGCCCTAGGTCTGAAGCCGGAACTAGATCTCTCTCTAAGCGTTCCCCAATAGATGCAGCTATGGGATTTAAAAAAGATAAAGTGGTCTTCCAGTCAGCATTTCAGAAGAAATGCCTCACTTTACAATCACTGAGTCTATACTCAAACCTAAACGAGATTGCGAGTAGAAACTTGGGATACGAATCAACGATTTCAAACCTACGTCTCTTTGCGGAAATCTGGAGGCATTTATCCAGAGCGCTGAAATATAATACTGTGGACACCGGTACAGGAATGTCGTTGCGGTTTATAGTACTTGAATTCCTGAAAGATATAACAGCTGCTTTGAAACGAGTACTTCGCTGCTACCGTAACGAAGAGTATGGATAAATCTTACGTCTATCATATTTTCCGCCTGTAGCCCGCGCAGTCTCGATAAGATAGAAATAGCAACGAAAGAGGATCAATGCCTGAAATTGAAAGAGACATAAAAGTTCCATCATTATCATTACCAGTCGTCGCACGGAAACGTCTCTCAACCCTTCGAAAGCCTCTCACGAAATTGGTCTCTCGTCCACTGAGAAATGCCGAAGTGAAGGTCGTTAATGGTATTGATATGGCTTGGGGTATAGATCTAGTGATAATGATGGATAGGATACCAAAAGTGAGGGGGAGAAGTACAGAGATAGAGCTCGAAGATGCTGTTGAAAAGGGAGACTTGTCATGGAGAAGGCTCTGGCGATGGTCGACTCGAAGGGAGGTAAGATGTTTCGCATCTTAGAGGAGGTTGTTAAGTTGTATCGATTTGTTAATGGAGAATTTGAAACAGCGGGGGGAGGGGAGCGGGCTAAAGGGGGAGCAGTAGAATTTGCAGAGGACAAGCGTATGAAAGCGAGGGTATGGAGAAATGCAAGTGCCGTAACTCGAGCGTCTCCAACGAGGGAAGGTCATTGGTGATCAAAATGGTATCCATTGACGCATTTTCGAATATCTGACGAACGAAGTGAGTAAGGATGGCGTGTACGAGTCGATATTCCCCCCCTGTATATGCCGACGCTGTATACTTATGGTCGACCACAGCACCGGCGTTCGCGTAGCTGGGTTATGGACACACATGAGAACCCATGGTGAAATTTTTTCGATGCGAGCCAGCCTGAGTCACAGTGGTTGAAGGAACAGTGCTTTCTGGAGGGAACCGGCATCTGGTGACTTGGTGAGGGTGGGGATGACATCATCGACTTCTTCAAGGTGTCTGGTGTAACCGACGGTCTCCAGATTATAGTGTATACGAGAGATAAATGGATGAACGATTTAGATAGAACGGAAGACAGGTGAAGAAAGCAAAAGGGCGGTGATCATGATCTGGGTTTGAATTACCGGGTTTCCACAAAATAATGGGAATCGATCGGAGTTTTTTTTGGGTTACCATATGTAGCAATTCGGTTGCCACCGCTATATTTCGCGTCTTCCCTTCTTACCACGACGACTGGTTCTTCTTGTGACGTATCGTAGCATTTATTGCCTACATCTTGCACTTATTATCATGGGAAATCGTCATATTCCAACTCAAATCAAGGACATAGCGCTAGAACTTTGGACTCTAGGATGGGAGCTGAGCGACATCTGCCATATCTTTCACGTTTCACCTAGCAGCCTCTACCGCTGGCGTAACCTTTTCGAAACATTCGGGACACCTGCAAATCGACCGGCACCCTTCCGTGGACGTCCACGTATTGTTAGCCTTGCGGCCCTTGACGCCATCCATGTCCTTCTGAAATCCCATCCTGATACCTATCTTGGCGAGCTACAGTGGTACCTAGCAATTCATCATGATCTTCCTATATCCATCTCTGCACTCCAACAGAATCTTGTCAGAGCTGGACTGACTCGTAAAGTTCTCCACACGATTGCCTTGGAACGGGATGAGCAGCGTCGGGCTGTATATCTAGCAGGAGTCACTAACCCGGTCAACTTCTCAGGGACTGGATTTGAGTTTGTCACTGTGGATGAGTCCAGTAAAGATGAGAGGACATTTGGTCGCCACTACGGTCGCTCACCAATTGGCCAAGAGGCAGATTTGGGAGATGTATTTGTCCGAGGCGAGCGGTATTCGCTGATTGCGGCTATGTCAATTGATGGATATATTGCAACGCGGGTACAACCAGGGTCCTTCGACTCATTTGGTTTCTTTGATTTCATCATTGAAGATGTTGTGAGTACATTCATGAATTCCTTCGGTCTCTCATGGATCATCAATGTGAACAGCTACCGCTTATGAACCCGTACCCAGAGAAGCAGAGCGTATTAGTTATGGACAACTGCAGGATTCATCATACCGACACCTTGATTGATGTACTCAATGCGTCTCGTAAGTCTCTCGCAAAGTCACCAAAGATTTCTCTGATCTATCCAGATGTTATGATATTGTATCTTCCTCCTTATTCTCCAGACCTCAACCCGATTGAAGAATCATTCAGCACATGTACGTTCCTGCTCTCCCCACAGAAACAATTCAATTGATCTTCAAAACAGGGAAAGCTTATCTGAGACGAAACGGGCCAATTCTCCGTGATGACGAGGACCCTATTCTGGTTCTTTTAGACGCGTGTGGTTGTATCACTGCAGAGATGGCATTTGGATGGTTCAAACATGCAGGGTATATATTTTAGAGACTTCGATTATAAGAACGTACAGTGATACAGCGACAAGAAATGATACATGATTCAAGGAAAGCGATAAACACGTGGTACAATTGCAAAGACAACAGAGAAAGCAGTACAGACAGCAGAGAAAGCGGTACAGACAACGAAGAGAACAGAGACAGACTAGGACGCATACAATCATTCCATCCACAGGCCCAGTTTTGCATCCTTGATGAACGCGTCATGCTTCGCCAAGATTGAACGCCACGATAACGCCGGAAAGCCAACGCCGGTCCAGTCAACTCGTTCAAGAGTCTTGATGTCCTTGTTGCCAGGGGTGTAACCAAGCTCCTGCAGGCGGTCGTGATCAGTATCATTGACTCCGTAATGAGCACAAAACGCTTCCAGTGAGACAACTGGCATCTTGGCGGGAGAAGGAGGAGCAGAAGGAATGGAAGGGGGACGGCTCAGTGAGCTACGGGAATTCTGCAACATCTGTAGCTGAAGCATTTGCTGAAATTGTTGATGTTGTTGCTGCTGCTGCTGCTGCTGCTGAAGAAGAAAATATTCTAGGAGGTTTCCTCCAAAAGGCACATCAGAAATAGTCGGAACAGCTGGGGTGGGAATCGGCATGGGGGCAGTGTTATTAGCTTGCTTTGCAGCGTCGGCATGGGCAGGGGGCGTTTTGGGAGGATGTAGGCGCTTCTTTGCATCGAAATAGGCATTGTTCGGAGGAGCATCTTCGGAAGCAGTTCCCCGAGCCTGGTGTGAATTAGAATCATATTCTCTTGTAAAGAGAGATACTTACCCAGTGCGACGCCCAGGAAGATAGTGCTCCAGGGTCCAAGTCGAAGTAATATCCAGCCGTATTCTTATAAACTCGTCGCCCAGGGAAAAGCGTCGGAAAGTTGTCCACTGGGAACTTCTCCTCTAGTTTGACTATCAAGGGCCTCACTGCTTCGTCGAATTTCTTCTACATTGCACGCGTTAGCCCATAGTACGAACGAACAAGAGTACCTACTTTTTGCGTGGCAATAGAATCTTCAGTTCCCTGCCATTCGAGCTGTGAGAAATCGAACCCAGAAGGCGCAGATTCTTGTCCATCTTCATTGGTTGTCGTCCACCACTGTGGGAACGTTAGGCAGAAAAAGACAAAATTGGTAGACCACTCACCGCCTCATCTGAAGCTGGACGCATGGGTGCTGGAGAGAAGACATACATGATCCGTTTGTTGACTGTCTTCGCTGCACGCATCTCCTCGACCAATGCCGTGAAGGCGAGTTCACTTGTGAGGGAGTGGATTTGCGACGTTTGAGGGACCTTCTGCTTGTACTTCAGCTCGTCCAGGATGAGCTTCGACCTGTGGCATTGGAGCGTAGTTGCTATAGCAGTGATGTAGTCTTCGAAGGACTTGTTGGACGTGAATTTGAAGGGGCCTTTTCGATGTAGAGGTCATAGTTGATCTTGCCGTTCGACTGGCTGGTTGGTTTTCGAGCCTTTGGAGGGTCTTTCTTGCGAATGTATACGTAGTTGACAAATTCGAAGGCTTCATCGTCGGTTTCGGAGGCTGATCTTGATTGTTTAGCAGAGGGTTGCTCATCGGATGCGCCAGCTTGAATGGATCGTTTCCTTTTGCTGGTGTTGTTGCTGGCAACTGTAAGCGGCGTCGATACCTTGAATTTTGCAGCTATCATAGCTCAGTAAATGCGCCTGTCTTTAGAGACTAGCCATGCGCACCTGCACCTGGAGCATCACTTATCATGCCCTGTATAAGCTCCCTATCAATATCACTCGCAGATTCACCTGCCAAAGATTGGTCTATCACTGAAGAGGAATCATCGTGGTCCATACCCATGTTGCCGGCAGTGTCAGATAGTGAAAACGACGTCGTGGTAAGAAGGGAAGACGCGAAATACAGCGGTGGCAACCGAATTGCTACATATGGTAACCCAAAAAAAACTCCGATCGATTCCCATTATTTTGTGGAAACCCGGTAAAAGTCGTCTTCGGCGGACCGGCAACTTCTCGGCACGGCGAGTCTTCGTCCTCCTGTCGTCCTCCTTCCAGGCACCAATATTCCTCCAATGCAATTCTCCTTGAATCTTTCAATGATGGCTCCATTAGATGGTGCGTCCCAAAAGATTCCTGAATTTGAGGAGTCATCAAAAATTCACCTTCCTGAATGCCAGACCAGCCTTTCGGCTAGTTCGGCGTTTTCTTCCCTGATTTTATATTCGTAAATTGTGAACCCTTTCTATGCTAGCAGCTGTACCTACTAGTAGGCATTTTATGGAAGATGGGGCTAATTTTATGAACAAAATCTTGCATGTACTCGAACTGAGGTATTCATAATTTCCAGAATTCTTAATACCAATGATTGCATCACAGACGGTATGTTTTGCAGTAGCTTAAATCTCGCTAACCGAGATATGTAACAAATACTAGAGCTTACAGAAGTCGACGAGACCCCTAATATGAAATATAGGTGATGCCCGTCTAGCAGAAAGCGACTACGCAGCCCAAATGCAGCCACGCAGGGCAGAAATCCTTTCAACCAGTGGAGCAAATCTGCGATGACTGTTGTATCATGCCAGTTGCATTCTAATACAACGTGCTAGTATTAGTACCAGGGAAAGGTCCTGATTGCGAGCCATGCCCTGCGGTTACGAAGGCTTATATGCTTTGTCGTTCGCCTCTAGCGGGGTATAAAGCCCTCGAAAGGTACACAATCGAAGGGGAAGGCTTTAACCTGCCTTTACTTGGGTAAGCCACATTGGCTTATGCCGAAAAGGACAAAGATAGAAAAAAAATCATACGCGCGACCTCGATTTCGTCATCTTACCAAGAATCCACGCCGGAATGTACAACAAGCTTCACGCGGTGCACACGTCTATTCCTTGTTATAGATTTTCGCCTGCGATCCATCGCTGCAACATCACGAGTGCTTCCTTTGGTTTATCGTATGGGGCCTATCAGAAATCAGAACTCTCCTGCAATCAACTCAGGAAGTTACTCACAAAATGGCCCGCCCCATCAATCGTAGCAAATGTCAGTCCTTTCGCACTGCGCGTCTTTCCCGTGACCTTTCCGCCGACCTCCCATTCCTGCAGCCTCTTTCTCACAAAATCCTTCCGGCCACTCCATTCTAACCCAAGAGTCCACCTTTCGTTTCCGACCCAATTACATAACCAATCGTTCGCACCAGCGTATACCAGAACCCTAACGCCACGTTCGAGGAGAGCAGCGATATGATCTTTCGTGATCGTGGGATGTAGCTCGTCCTGAGAGGCGCTGAAGTTATTTATGATGTCGTAGTTACACGCTGAGAAGTTCTCTGGAACTCCCGGGTCGACTCCGAGCAGTGAGCGAACGGAAGGAATAGATAGATACTCTGAGATGTATCTAGTTGATATTGTAAATAAGAGGTGCGAATAAAATTAGATTCAAGCTTACTTTCTCATGGGATAACATTCCGTTTCAAAAAAGTCGCCATCACACTCGCGGCTCATATCATACGGATTCATTCCTAAGACTTGTCAGCATTTATTCATACTCAAAATTAAACGCACTCGTTCTCGCGTATGGTGTACCAATTGCAGCACGGCAAAATGAGTACGCGGCACCACAATTCATAGAATCAAAGACATCAATACAGGCGTCTTGCATCCAATTCTCGCATCTGCTTATCTGCGAATGAAACGGATGTTTTCAGTGGGTGAGGCATAGGAAGACAGGACGAACCGTTGACTTAATTTCTACGCATGTCGAGATGCTTAGGATAGGAGGGAAGGATACCGAAGTACACTCCATATCAAAGTAAGATAAAACCATCTTAATACTGTCTGTTAAGCCATTGCCTGTATAAATTTAGATGAATTTAGGTATGTTGAAGAATATAACAAACTTCTTACCAATCACAACCGATTTCAGGTTAATCGGTGGCCGTCCATTCCTCCGGAGCAAGGCATTGTTATCATAAACTGCAGACGCAAAAAACGGAAGGAACCGTCCCTAAAACGGACATTATTACAAGCAGATTCGAAGGAGGTTTTCAAACTCACACCATACGACTCCCCCGCCATATGTAAAGGCCGTCCCTCAAACTGACTAAAACTTTCAAAGAATATGGAAATGAAAGCAGCGATGTCTCTCCCCCCGTCTTCGGTGGTACTCTAAATGCGGAGGAAGAATCAGTTACAGTAAATGACAAACCGAGTGTGAGTTTCTTACGACTGTCTCGCCATAAGAGAACCCAGTGCCAACGGGCTGGTCGATAAAGAATATATTGGTGTTGGTGTTCCACGAGTCTGGATGGTATTTTGGTCCATGCGCGTCGAGCACGCGGCAGGGACCTGTGCATTTTAGTGCGATACACGAGTTAGGTCCCCGAGCTGAACTCACCCATCTCCATGAATAATCCTGTAGACGAAGAGCAGCCTGGCCCACCGTTAGTCCAAAATACTACGTCGTCCCGAACTGGGTCGTTCCTGCTCTCAAAGAAGTAGAAAAATAAATGGCGGGTCTGTGAAATGTCGATGTATCCCGTATATGCTCTGCGAATATTTCATGAGATAAGTTCACTGTGGATGAAGGGGATGCGTACTGTACAGTTTGGTCGCAGAACGAAGTCTTCTTGATCCTGATCGAGTGCTCGGGGTACAATGAATGTCGGAGAGTCGTGAAGCAGCCCACAGATAAGCTAGCAAGAGAGGTTACATCGTCGCTATTGCAATTGCTCTGCACCGCTTGAGGTTGGGAAGTTCCATAGTTTCCATTGGTCCAAAGAGGCGTTTCAGCTGCGCAACTTTGTAGCAGGAGAGAACAAATTAAGGATAATGTGGTCCACAACATGACGCCAGCAGATCGTGAACCCTAGAGATAACGACTGTGCACGCGGATTGCTAAGAGTAAATACCAGTGATGCAAATTCCACGACTGGCTAGATTGGGTTCATGTAGTCAGTAGCAAGCTTTTAGCGATGATGGCAGTTGGAGAGAAACCGGCCCGGTTATTGCCGCTACACGATTCCAAATACGGTGGCTAGGCGCCAGCCCGACGTCCAACATTTGTTAACAAGGCTTTTCAGGAGCTCAGCTTAATCCGCGGTGATAGGAGAACATATCTAGAGATTATGTATAGGTGCCAGTCTGATTCATTCTGTACACTAATCCTATGAAGACTTAAAAAGGGAAACGAACTCGACGGTGCCAGACTGCCAGTAGTTGTTGTTGGAGTCGAGTCTCTCTCTCACCATTGACGTGCGCGATGTGAATAGCGAAGTATAGTTGATATATCTGTTCTCGTGATATAATAGCGTGGCCGTGATGGTAATAATGCGATGCAAATGAAGCGTCCCCTCTAATGTCTCGCCTCTTTCTCGCCCTCCTCTGTAATCGCCGTCGTATCTGGCGGCACACTCCCTCTCCGCACAAACCATTAGAAGGTTGGAAGTGTGATCATTGAGATCACCGTCCATGCTATAAGGATACCAAAATGTAGCCCCACTAACCACGAAGCATTAGCAATAGTGAAAAGAATACTGGGGCTTTGAAACTTACGTTCGTTCTTCGTACCAAATAAGATAGTCCGTACAGCGCCAGAGACGTTGTAGAAGGGCATAGCGTATCCGTATCGATAGATATTTGGCAGGACGGCGATGGGCATGAAGCATACCGATACATTAGCTTCAAAGAAGTCGCGTCAGAACAATGGCTAACAGACGGGGATGAGTATACTCACATATAATCCACAGAATCATGAAAAAAGGCATGAATCGGATGGTAAGGAGCGTTATCATTGCTTCAAGGGCTAGGCCCACCGAGAGCATACCAACAAAATTAAGCATCCAAAATATGACAAAGCCTGCGCTGCCGAACCTACAGCACCCCTGATTAGTAAAGCAATAAGAAACAAGGAAGAAATCGCGTACTTGCGCGAGAAATCGACTTGGAAGGCTCGGCTAAGAAGAGAGTAGAATAGGGAGATCATAAAGTATGCAATGAACACTGAGACGAGCCGGACACGGATGAGGGAACCTGTAGTTAATTTGTTCTGAAGTCCGGACACTTCTCGCGCAGAGACACCGATCATCTATGTCATAGGTGTAAGTGCAGCTCTGTATATTGTCAAAGAACGGTACGCACGACGATGAAGAATGATAGGATTAGGAGGTAGATCAAACCAACGAATGTGATGGCGCTAGCACTAGATAAACGTCAGCATGTTTTAGAGCGGAAGAGAAGATTAATAGAGGCGTACACTGGGATATCAAATTGGAACGAGATTGTCCGTAGCATAGCTTATAGGCTCCGTTAGAATTTTGGGTGCTGAACGGGCGATAGAGGACAGTGACGAAGACGAAGCTAGTTCTGTCACGCATTGTTGGTGCGAATTCCTGGGGATATAACTGCGAGGAGAGCTTGGACGGACGGCCGTATCAACGAACGACTGTAGAATAACATCAAGACCAGACGGAGGAAGAATAGACTAGAGACGTACTATGCGTTTTCGTTCCTCGCCTCTGCGGCGTAAATTGTTATTGCTTCTGATCCATCATACGATGAATTTACGGATGATACCGCCGCATTTAACGCGCTGGTCGCATTTGATTGAACTAAATAACGTTCATCAGAGCTAGAAGACAAGGAGATAAGAAAGAGCTGATGCACCGACAACCGCCACCCAGGTCTTCTGCTCCACCACCCGATTCGCCACTTCCTGCCAGCCGCCAGGGAACTCACTCGCAGACACCTGCGTGAACGTCACCTTGCTCGATGACGAACCTGCCGGTCAGGCCCTGGACCACCGCCTTCCCCACCGTCGACCCATCGAAATCAACAACCCATCCGTGGCAGATTATGGGCTGGAAATCTTCCACAGTGCGCCCCAATATATTGAGAATATGCAGAACATCACAATCACCATCGCAAAGCATCCGCCGAAGAGGACTTTGAGATATACGGCCCCGCGAGGTCTGTATTGGAGGGCGTTTTGTCGAAGAATTTGGAGGAGTAAGGGCGTTCCATGACGGGGACGTCGCGCTCGGCGGTGGTCGTATCGACGGACATACGGTTCGACATGGTATAATAATGTAGGTAAAAGAAAGTGGGATAGGGGGTCAATGACGATCGAGGGTCATGGGTGTATATATAGTGACGACGTTGGCCGGCTCACGTAAAGTTTATCCGGATCGTAAAGGGGTTTAGCGTGATGGGAGGTTACAAAGTTGGATTTCCCGAAAGTCACAGTGACTCAGAGACAAGTTTGCAGAAGGACAAAAATAGTTAGCCGGCTGTTCTTTAGGAAATCGCAGTTTTCAAGCAGGTTGACGAGTAAGCCCGGCTTGTAGAGAGCAAGCGTATAATCGTATCCTTGCCGATTACCCGCAAGAAAGTAGTACGAAATGTCACGGATAAACGGAGGAGTTCTATCAAATGTGGTGGTGCCTATTTCTAAGCCGCCCATGAACTTAAGCATTTTGAGTCCGAGAGTCGCCATCGAGCATGTAAGAAATTTACCGGGCCCGGAGTTCGACATTGACCCTACTCGCTATGCTTAGCATCTGTTGCCATATCTTGGGCACACTCACTACATAAAACTGGCGACCAAGTTCTGCTCTCCTGGAACTTGATCATGGATCATGATTTGCAGTTGCAAAGTGACCATGCTGTATGCGGCCGGAACGAAGATGGTGTTGCAACTAAAAAAGAATTCGAGTCAGAGCTCATCAGATTTCTCTTGCCATTAGGGATACTATTTTCAGTACGGAAGACACCTTTCTAGACCTCCTACACGTCGCAACGTGCCGCTTGAACTCTTATCGAGCGTCATGGTGATTCAGAGAGGACTGCGCACCGTAAGATACTGACAGTGTCAATATATAATGACTCACGTCTTCGACGCATATACCGCCGTATTGCCGTACAAAGATATAGCTACGTTCAAGGGCTAATCGGTGGGTGATCGTCGAGAAAGAAGCCGCATGTGGCCATGCCGCCGCCGCGAATTACCGCGGCCCGCCGTTTGAAAATAGATCCGAGTCATGATCCGGCCCTCTTCATCAGATCTTTGATTGGAACCCGACGCCCTCCAGTTCAAGCCTCTGGGAAATTCGTACAGCATTGATATGCCATAAGTGTAGTAAGTTTTATCCGAATAAGTATCTTGGAGCATTGTACTTGCACTTCCCTTTCTTACATCGACCAGGGGCCGACAATTTGACGGCAAGAATAGTTAGTTAACCGCATCCACATTTCGGTTCTCCCTATGTGTTCGGCGGTTTCCGACGACGCACCATGGACTTTTCCTGATTACCTTCCGTCTCTTCAATCTCCCATCATGCTCTCAGAACACCCCCAAGCGAAGTCGATCGCCTACGCCAAGCTATCACGGAACTCCAAGACGAACGCGACAAGTACAGACACAGTGCAGGCAAGGCTATGAGAGAATCGATGGAGCTCCTCGTCGAGAAGGAACGCCTCGAGTGCGAGAATGCTGATTTAAAGCGCACTGTGAGGGGATTGAAAGAGGATATTCAGCGGAGGGGAGAGGTACGCTGTGCATTTCTCTCTATCTCATTCTCTCATGGATTATGTAGGGTCTAGTGAGACAGCCTTCTTCGCAGACGCCGGTAAGTGTTCCTGTGGTGCTTTCTGTGAGGTTGCGATAAGTCTTCGCTAGGCTAGAGCAGAACATGCTGCTCAGAATCCTCAGAACGCGACACGGAATCCCCGGGATATGAGAGGCAACGGTACTCGAGAAGTTGATCAACACGAGGCAGGATCTTTAGCGTTGAGAATGTCTGTAAGTTTTTTTACTTCACTCTCCCGCTAATATTTGAACCGACGAGACCTTTTCAGAATCCACATGAGACCCCGCATCGTGCAAAGGTAACGACTTCTTTTCAATTATGGGTGACTGTGATTGATGACACTCGTAGATGTTTCGTGACCGCTCACGGCATGCTAATGAAGAGCCTCCGATGAAGAGGTTCAGGCAAGAGTAGAATTAGGCGTGCGGTAGCATAACTTGTGACTACAATATACCCCTTTTGCGATTATGGCTTCCTTTGTAGTGTTGTCGTTCTATCAGTCTCTGCGGCCGGCTGAGCATTTCCTCGTGCGTCTTTCTCCTATTGTACTTGGATGGCTCGTGCATATTCGCTGAAATCTATTTCATAAATTTTATGACTCTGGTCTCCCATGTCCATCCTTCCTTTCGAGGACGTAACAACCTTTGATCAAAGGTACCCTCCCAGCGCAGCATGGAATATTGAGACGAAGGAAAAAAAGTACAGAAATTGAGTTAACCTTCCAGCCATCTAACCACGATGGGAAAGCTTACATTGACGGATAAGCTTGAACATCATTACTGTGAATATGCTCCAATGTTGATCGTTTTCTGTGATTGATGATACGGCGGTGCACCATAAAACCTAGGAGTGCCTGTAAGCCATTCACGACCTACGCCCGGTGTCCCCCAGTGCACCGTGCCATGTAATACTGCCTACCTACCTACCTACGACGGCAGAAGGTAATTAGATTCGACCCGAATATCGAACAGGCCAGGATCGCAGTAAAGACATTTTGAAACGGGAATACAAGAAGCATTCAAGCTTGGTGTACTCGCGGAATTGGTCAGATATGACATGGATACACGTACATAAAGCATATGAAGTACATTTGGCACCAACGACTCGACTCGACATGGATCAGTAGAATTTTAGGTTACGTTCTACGGACTCTGGAAGAAAAAGGTGCGTCGAGTAAATCTCCTACAGTAATATTTTACTTCTGGATATAAATGTTAATTCTCCAGATTAGAGTGCAAGGAAAACAGAACAGGGTACACTGAACAAAGGTATGATGTTATGGATACATTAAGGAACAAAGAAGGCAAGCAAGCGATGCAAAATGAAAGCAAGCGACAAAGCAAATACATATAACAGATAAATGGGCGAGGCTATGGCATAGTACTACCTCTCCTCTTTGTTCGTTGTCCTTACATCACTTATCCGGCGTCTGACGTAGTCCCTATCGTCAGATATTTCCATCCTTTGCTCCGATGTTGACCGATAATCCTGCCTCCCAAACACCGAAGCGCGGGGCTTATACGTCCGCTGCTCGTCATCCTCATCATCAGAGGAAGTATTCGATGACGCGGGATGCCATACATATTCAGATCTGTTAACGGCAGGATGACGTTTGTGGGGTAGATACGGATGGGAAGGAGGAAGTCGCATCGAGGAGGGAGAAGGGAAGAGTGAAGCTGCGGTAGGATTGGTATGGTTTCTGTAATGCCGGCGCATATTGGAGTTTACGTTGAACTCTCGTCCGCAGCCGGGGAAAGGGCACCGGAATGCTGTACAGTAACATAAGCGTGGGCAAGAAAATAAGCTTTATATGACTCACGCGTTGCACCTGTATGCGTGTTGATATGGATCCGCAAGCTGCTGGGCCTATTAAACCGCTTATGACACGTTCTGCACACGTGTTTCTTAGCACCGTCCTCGTCATCTTCACTCGACAATGGCGTGGACTCGCGGCGTGGCGGAGGAAAGGATTGGGGCTGGTAAGAAAGAGAATCGGAGGAAGCGATGTGAGTCAGGGAAGAGGATGCGGGGTCCGAGCGGAGAACATCAAAGGAATAGCGTGAGGATGTCGTCGGTGAATATTGGTGAATTATGGGTGGTGTAACAGGTGGGTCCCGCAGTAGATGTTCTATACGCCATAAATTTGGCCATACGTCTAAAACAGGAGAACATGAGGACTTACCGGGAAACATTTCGTGAATACTGGGAAGGGAGACTGTAATGGTCATCGTGGTGGTGGAAAGGAAGAGGAGAACGCGAATCAGGCGACGACCATACAGCTGTGCATTTATACACGGCAACCATCCGATTTGCCGAGATCCTACGATCCGGCGTAAAGCCGCGATTTGGCCATCAATGACAATCTTCTGCTCTCTCGACGTAGATCCACGACGTCATCAACTTCTTCACACCTGGCGTCATCCGCGCCATCACCTACATGCAGTTCTGTTTGTCAATCGCAGTTCTGTTTGCTCGTCGTTTTGGTCGATTACTCACCACCTTCGGTGGTATTGCGCAGTATTGCTGTGCGCGGACAATGCATGACCGTACGCCAATCCTATAATTACCATCTCCCCTTCTTCCCCGCTCTTCTCGGCGTCCGAGGGGTTTGCGTTGGCGCTCTGATGCCGCCGGATGACGAAGATCCACTACCACCGCACCTCCACCGCGCCAAAGGGGGCAGGCAATTCCCTCCATACCCGTAGCGCGGGCTCGAACAACCGAGGCATTCTGTTAGCGTACGGAGGATAGAAATTCCCTTGTTTTCTCTGTATCGTCGCACCGAGTGGTCTGATTCTTCCTCTCCTTAGCGAGAATCACTCCTTCCTGGTTCTGTGCAGATCCTGTGATCAGCTGTGAGCGGTGATCATCACCCGCTGTGCCCGATATTCACCGCGTAGAAGGGTAGATCACTGATCCTGCATTGCCATCAACGGTCAATAAATCGTGCCTATGAGATCTCGCCCTCGTCTTTGCGTTCCGATGGGGATGAGACCGATGCTCTATTGAAATCGATACACCGACAATTGCCACCTACGTGTCCCATAAATCTTCTTCTACGTACATCCTCAACGTCAAACACTTCCTTTTTCCGATCTCAGCTGCTTCCCAGAATTTGCGGCGATCTTGGCCCTGGTTGAAGTCACTGAAGAGAAGAGAGTACTCTCGGATTTCATATATGCGACAGGAATTTTATTGACAAGTGGCAAGAGAAAGGTGTGTCCTTGTAGGGGAGCAGAAGAACGATGTTCTAGTTGGCTGTTCTTAGCTTCCCAGTCTCCGGCGACACAGGATTTCTGACTCGTAATGATTCTTCGTGCAGAAGATGCTTGCCGCGTTTCGAAGCCTAAGATTTACGGACGCTACTCGTTTTGAAACTGCACAGCTGCACATCACCGTTTCTCTCTCGGGACAGGTTATTTGCTATGTCAGTCACGACCTGGCAGTGTTAGTAAGTAACATTTCCATTCGTCCTGCCATGCTACGAACCGGGTCTTTCAGGTACTACCGACAACACGAGGCGACATGTTCCTGCGTTTATTTCCATTCTGCCCTGCCTGGTAGGCTTTCGCGTGTCGCGGATGCCGTGTATTGCTTAACCAACCTTGTGTCATGATGACTGATTGGCGGACGGCTCCGCTCGCTTTGTTCCTTCGGCGGCTTTCATTGACCGTATGTTCTGCTCATGAATGCACGACCTGAGGAAGGATCTTCCCCAGCTGAGCTGAAGTATATTACAATTAGTGGAGTGATTTTTCCATCATGTTCTTGTCAATATATACCTCTAGTACGAAGGAAACAGGATCGGTGCTGTCGTACTTTGATAGGGCGTCGTATTTGGCATCTGACTCATGCGTGGGGATTAAATGAACGGCTCGTCGTGCATTTTCGTTCTTGGTTTTGAACACTAATTTTCCCTCGCGTGTGATAGGTGTTGGTGTTAGTGTTGGTACCGGCACAAGGTTCCAATAAAGAACGGCCGGTGTGAAACATAAGCACGCTAGTATCCCAGAGTGAGTTTGTTAAACCTCATCTCTAAAATACACCTTGATAACCATCGTACGATCATACGAATGAATATGTGGGAGCGCTGGTCTGTAATTTAGAAGCAACGGCCGGAACAAGGATGATCCGACATCTGACCGAGGGCAACAAGCGTCAACAATTCCCTTCTTTCTTCGACCATGAGCGCTCAGCTACGAGTCTTCGTTAATCACTCCTTCTATTCCCGTCTCTAGGGTGCTCCTGATGAAAGATTACAGCGAAATTCCTTTGCAAATCCTTCGTTGTTGCTGAGAACAACCAAGTTCCTGCTCGGGAGGGACACGTCTGATCGCTGGATCATATCACTTGAAGGCGACACGTTTGTCAGGGCGCAGAGTACTTCATGGCGAGGTATGCCGTACGTTCCTGGATTTCTGAACGCAACTGAAAAGGGAAGCCTTAGCTCTGCATTTCGCGTCCCATTGCTACTGACGATAGGACCTTTTTATGTTCGTTCAGCACTAAATCCGCCCGGTCACCAAGACATAGTAGTGTCACTTCTTCGAGCAGGAATGGAAGATCGTTCGACGGAGGGCTGTAGGAAATAGGCCCGCTCCGGAAATAGTTGTGGAGAACTATGTGAGAATACAGGCAATTTCAGTCAAGACGTTGTGCGTCTCTTATCGTTATCCGGTTTCCGGCGTTTTGTTGACCATTTAGCAGGTGCAGGAGATCGTTGCTCGTCGCTATATTCTGCCGAGTCATGGTCTTTTCTGAGTCATCTTCTGGTCAGCGCCTGGAGAATTTTAGTCCCATCGACGTTGCTCTCCACTGGTGTTGGGCATTCACTGTTCGCAGCCATGTTCAAAGTCAGCCCCATGATCGCCCTTGTATGAAACCGCTACTTCCACCCGATTCCCAGCATTCCCTTTGCTGGGCTTTCATGATCCGCCCAAGTCCTCCAGGTTATTATCTGTTTCCTCCCGCAGAAGAGTACGCATCGTTTGAAACGATTACGAGATCAGGACACAGTAACCGGGGTGACAAAGCTTGATTCTGCCGACACGCTGATGAGATGGGTTGTGGCGATGTGCTGTATTGTACTGTGGTATGACTGCTTTTCTTCTCCAACACTGGACTAATACGACGTCGCCTTATAGTACTTTCCCAGTGGTCTGTCATCGTTGGTGCTGTCGAGTCATTTGGAAGAGACTGCAGCAGTAGCGCCACTGAGCGAGCGATTTTGCTCAGACTTTGTATTTTGTCGAGACCTGTCTTTTGTACATGCCGGCGAACGGTGATGTGATGACCACTGGGACGATGTCTTCTAGTGAAAGAGCAGAATAACAGCGGAATGGTCTGTATGATAAACGGCTGGCTCGGTGGTGATCTTACTGCCCGTGGTTCATCTCTCGTATTGACGTGCAACTTCTCCCATCAGGCTTAAGGTTCCCCAGCCAATCAATGCCACTCGGAGCAGCGTTCAGGATGTGAGGCGACGGCGCAAGTTTTGTGGTTCCATATTTCTTGGTGGTATTCTGTGCTTTGTCTGTGATCTGGGTGACTACAGTAGCTTATCAATCAACGAATAAGGCCCGAACAAGTATCGCTTACCCAGCAGCAGAGTTTAGGAGAGGACTAACAAGCATGCAGAGAACCTTCCTTAGTTCGCCGTGGTTGGAGATAAGAGATGAACGTCTGTAGATTGCGGCGACCCAATACCCGTCAATCCTAAACCAGGGTTTTCTTCCGCCGCGGATGAGGGTGTTGAACGCTGTTTATCACATTTCTACCTGACGAGGACTATCAATAAAAACATGTCAGAGAGACGAAGGTACAGCTTACTTTGAGCCTTGAGTGTACTGTGGTGGGCGTCGCAACGTTAAGGTTGAGTATAGAGAAATTGGCAATCAACTAATTAGCCCTTACAGAGCGCGGATACTCAAATGGCACGGTTTCCGAAACAACGTTAGGCGGACTCGCGATAGCATTTGCGCTCCTACCAAAAGTGCGTTAATTAGCACTAGAACAGAACGAAAAGAACATCAACTTACAAGGGGCGTAAAGCAGCACACAAAGGGGCGATATACCTCTCGGCACGCCGGAGAGAAGAGACAATGGTGTAACAGATGAGGGATGCTCGATGAGACGGGGACACGATGCGCAAGACGACGCGTGCGTGTGACTGGCCGAGTCTTGGGGTCTATGAGACGGAAAACAGACATACAAGGCAGTGGCTGGCCTACCTAGTCTAGCGGGATGAAGGTACGTGTTGACGCATTGAAGGATAACCAGGGTGCAATCAAGAGGGTTGACTATCATGTGACGCCGGTGGGGAATAGTGTTAGGCGGACATGCGATGTTGTCAAATTCGAGAGTCGTGTGACTGAGGCGTTGGAAATGCAAGAGGGCGTGGAGAGAATGGGGAACGATGATGCTGAAAGTCAGCTGATCAGCACAACGACAGAAGAAAAGGAACATTACCTTACCTTGATGTAGGAGGAAGCAGCATACAGAAGGATAGAGTTATGTGATACATCGTGAGTTGCGGGTCCACGCGCCGGAGAGGAGAAACAAGACGACAGCAGGATAACATGGCGATACAATAGGCAAGAGGATACGTGCATCTGGATCTGAGGCGCTGACGAGACGGAAAGACGAGACCGGTGACTAACCTACCTGGACTGAGGGCCTGATGGACAAATGGTTTGGATAAAGTCAGTTCGTGGTGACCTCCGAGAGTATCGGGGCGTAATCGTGAGGGTTGATGATGTGGTAACCCCACGTAGGTATCGGCATCTAATCATCCTCGGGAACAAAGTGGTAAACCGGTTAGGGTTAGGGTGGACCCTACGACTCTTCGGCGGGGCCCCCCCGGAGGGAGGGGTGCCGAAGACGTCGTAGGGGACTTAACATATCTCTTCGACTTACAAAGAGTCGGTGCGGTGGTTGGCTGTTAAAGGCGAGTACGGAGCTAGTAGGCTCAACGAGACGGGACCAATGGGCTGGGGAAAATCCCCAAGCCAACCCATTTCGTATAAATACTCATCAGGGTCCGTGCGCTCGAATTGCGCGATTATTGCGACTCGTGCTTCTTATTTGAAGTGGTCTGACAATAATCGTACGATATTAATCTTATATCGTCATCGGCGACGTCATTAGACCCGTCCAGACGGGCCTAGACCGGTTACGCGGTTAAATGCGTAATCGTGCTTACTCTTTTAATAGCCGAACTACCGAACCGGCCCGTTGAGTCATACCATATGACTCACCTGATATCGGATCATTACGGTCCGATCAGTAGCCACGGTTAACTCCGGATCACGTGTTCGAGAGTCTAGGACCGTCTCCCCGGCCCGCCGGTCCGCACGGTCCGGGTCCTCCCTGTAGGCGGCCCCGAAGGGCGGCCCAGGGCGTGGGTTAATTCCCGTAAACTACCCCCGTAGGGGATAGACAACTCGGTCCGGTTGTTCCGGTTAGGGTTAGGTTAGGTCAGGTGACTCCTTAGTCCGCGAAGCGGTGTTAGGGCTTAGGGTTAGGGTTCGGGGTTAGGCTGCCGATGTAGAGTAAAGCAGTCAGTTACGATTCGCGATTAAGCGATGTGTACATACGTTAGGGTTGGTGTTAGGTGAGGGTTAGAGTATCCCAAAAAGACTCGGTTAATACCGTCTGCGTTTACTGCAGATAACGTAGTACTTACAAGATTAATACTTTAAAGAATTGCTGTAAGCGTGTGGCGTAGAGGAACGTTCGCGGCTCGGCGCGAGATAACCGTCTCCCGTTCGTCCGAGGAGTACTTGGAGCGGGTCAATTCCCGATAAGAGGTCCATCCCCGTAGGGGCTGCGTCGTTTCGCTATTAAGTAGACCTGTAACGACTATCTGGAGCTTACTCCACTAATAGTCCATATCGCCACCAAGGGCTTGTTCGATGAAAAATTGAGGATTAACCTCGTCGTTTGACCAGTCACTGTCGTCCGAGTCGTCGGTTACTTCGACGGGGATGTTTGCATCTTCAGTTGAAAACAGTTTTCATCTAGCTTTGCGAGAACAGTCTTTTTCCAAAGAGAGGTTAGATCGAATAAGTTGCGGCCGCGTTTGCGACTCACAATCATTCGTCGATTAGGATGTTAATTGTACGGATATCCGGCATAGAAACCCAGGAACCAGAGGTACTGAAACACCGGCGAGCAGAGCTCGTCGGGTACTTCGCTCTGATGCAGAGATCCCCATGACGGGTCCATTGTTTTTCGAGCACCCATGTTTTCACGCGTGGGATGCTCGGCGGCTTCGATTGAACGTCGCCAACTTCCTAAGACTGTGTCTCCTAATTCTTTAGCGGAGAAATAATTCCATGCAGTATTGTAAACAGGATTTGAGAACAAGAACGTCCTGTGCATCGGGGCGGGCGACAGTAGCCGCTATCCGCTTATCCCATCGTTCTTGTGCATTTTCTCTGCACCATTTACAGACTAAATCTGACGGATAGCCACGTTTGATAGTACAGCGCTATGGTAAACTGGACTGCATCTCTGTAGTCCTCGAGCGTGCTGCTTAGCGTAGCCATCCGTGATAGTTCGCCTATGAACGTACCTCGCTTGACGTCAAGCGGATGGTAACTTATCCAGGGAATTCTCTCCATGTGTGAGCGAGCTTTGCGATACGGCCTGTGCTGGAGTAGGTTCTGCCCATCTCTATATAACATCAGGTCGAGGAATTCTCTATGATTAGAACTCGCGCCCCATTCGATCGTACACCCATCGTATTTGATCTTGTTCTAGTTTGTTAAGTGCGTCCGTTTCCGAAGACGCGTAGACTATAGACAAACAGTCATCGATGTAACGCCCGTAGAATAGTACGTCGGCGTTTGCAGATATATTAACTTTACGTTCAAACCATGCGCCATAAAGGTTAGGCAAGGTCTGGACTGTCCGCGACACCCATTGCTAGGCCGCGTTTCTGACGGTAAAATTTATCTTTGTAGTGTAGGACAAGATTTTTATTGCCGGCGTATAAACATTTGGTAAACATTTCGCCTAATACGTGGACGGATTCGTCGTTGTCGTACCCAATGTGTTCGTAGTAGAGGTGCTTTGCTATTTGCATTGCGCCTTCTAGGATGACATTTGGGTAGAATGCGACGACGTCGCCCGTAACGATAAACCATTTACGGGTTCGGTCAATATTAATCTTACTTAATTTTATAGCCAAGTCTTTCGATCCGTGAATGATCGTTGGCTCCGATTGGATTATCGGTTTAAGCATTTTGGATACATACTTAGCGGCGGGGTTTTGGATGGCTGAGTGGCATGGTATGATAGGCCTAAATTTCACGGGTTCCTTGTGTATTTTTGGAATCCCGTAAAATTCGGGCGCCACATGTTGTGTTCCTCGAGGAGTTATCTTCGATCGCATGAACTTAGCTATTTGGGTGCCGTTTGGAAGATTACAATCAGCGTATAACGCAATCATTTCCATTTCTGTACATTGAGAATCGCAGATTTGATTAAACATTATCTGCGCTAATTCGATATAATCGTTTTATTATTTAATATCTCTAGGCTTTTAGACTCGATCCAACTACGCTCGGAGACCGCGATGCCTAAGTTTTTATCTGTAGACGTAATTATGTAATTATGGCTATCTAGATATCTTTGAATACGGGCGGGACTCGGTGTGAGCGATTTGTGCCAATGCGTGGCCGAGGTGTCCTCAGGTGGTATGTTGGCGATCGTTTTAAGTACGAAGCGCCGGCCAGCCTGAATGCCGTATTCAATGTATTGCGGTGCTTTGGGTGCGGTTGCCCGGTCTTCCGGGCGTTTTTGTCCGACCTCAAAGTCTGGATCGTATAAGTCTTCGCTGTCTTTTTTCTCCGTAAAACTAAAGTGAATTCGCCAGCGAAGTCTTTCGACGAATTCGTTCCACGCACTTAGAATCAAACTATTGTTGCGGGGGGAATAAAACATATATTTTAATCCAACGGAGAGCTGATACTGTAAGTCCAACGGTACTTCTACTCCAGGCGATAAGTGTACATTACTACGATACGAGGCGGCTTCTATAATACTAAGAGGAGTACGAGAATGTAAAAATGAGATTGCCTGTGGGAGTGGGATTGTGAGCAGCCAATCTGGGTAAGAAGAAGGAACGTCCCACCGAAAACCAGGTCCAGTGGGTTAGGGTTAGGGTTAGGGTTAGGGTTAGGGTTAGGGTTAGGGTTAGGGTTAGGGTTAGGGTTAGGGTTAGGGTTAGGGTTAGGGTTAGGGTTAGGGTTAGGGTTAGGGTTAGTAGGGTTAGGGTTAGGTAGGGTAGGGTTAGGTTAGGGTTAGGGTTAGTGTTAGGGTTAGGGTTAGGGGTTAGGGTTAGG